CTTGATCTTCAAACCTGTCTCATTCTCCACTGTGGCCTTCCACTTCTTGAACACATCAAATACCTTAGATTTGTGCTTTAAAAAATAAACCCATACCTTCCCCGCGTGGTCATCAATGAAAGTCACGAAGTAAGATTTTTCGCCAATGAATGAGACAGTGACTGCCCCCAGACATCTGTGTGAACTAGCACAAGTTTCTTCTTTCTGAGATCTCTGTCACTCTTCTTGAAACTGACCCTATTTGCTTGCCCATCATGCAACTCTCACATAAATCAATATCAATTGCCCGTATGCTGGTAGTTTCCCCTTTAAGTGCATAATCTTAAGCCCCCTTTCACTCATGTGACCTAGCCTATGATGCTAAAGGTTGTGATCTTCTCTATTTTCTGCAACTGCTATAGACCCATAAGCATTAGTTGTTGTGTAGATAGTGCCAAATTTATTACCACGTGCAATAGTTATAGTGCTTCTGGAAACTTTCCACGAGTCTCCATTGAAGGTTGTAAGAAAACCTTCCTCTGATAATTGTCCCACCGAAATCAGATTATTCCTCAAGTTAGGGACGTGTCTCACATCCTTCAACTTCCAAGTTAACCCATTCAATTTGATTTGCATTTCAACTTTGCCAACGACGCTGCAAGGCTGATCATCACCAAGATATACCTTGCCAAGATTACCCGATTCATAGCTATTAAATAGCTCTTTGCTTAAGGTGCCATAAAATGATGCACTGGAATCTAAAACCCATGACTCAGTCTTGCTCTCAAAATAGCATATCAATGCATCATCTGATTCTTCTGAGACAACGTTTACTTCAGTTTTTCTTTCGGTTCCCTTCTTTGGAATTTTTCAATCAACACGGTAATGTTCATTATTTCCACAATTCCAATGCTCAACATCATTAAGATCTGTGGAGTTCTTAAAATTTTGAGACTGTGTCATTCCATTCCTTGACTTGGATCTGCCTCTGTTTCTATTACCGTTGCCCTTCTTCTTGTTTGAACCCTTGTCTCTTCTATCAACATTCAATGCCGAACCACCAGTGGAAACCACCGAAATCAGATTCTTCCTCAAGTTAGGGATGTGTCTCACATCCTTCAACTTCCAAGCTGACCTATTCATTTTGGTTTGCACTTCACATTTACCAACGACGTTGTAAGGCTGATCATCACCAAGATACACCTTGCCAAGATTACCCGGTTCATAGCTCTTTGCTTGAGGTGCCATGAAATGATGCGCCAGAATCTAAAACCCATGACTCCGTCTTGCTTCCCAAATTACATATTAATGCATCATCTGATTCTTTTGAGACAACGTTTGCTTCAATTTTTCTTCCAGTTCTCTTATTTGGAAGTCTGTAATCAACACGATAATGTCCATTTTTTCCACAATTCCAACACTCAACATCATTGAGATATGTGGAATTCCTGAAATTTTGAGACTGTGTCATTCCATTCCTTGACTTGGATCTGCCTCTGTTTCTATTACCATTGCCCTTCTTCTTGTTTGAACCCTTGCCTCTGCTTTCAACATTCAATACCGAACCACTGGTGGAAATCACTACTGTTTGCCTTCTGATTTCTTCAGTCAGAATCATGCTCACAACTTCATCAAACTTCAACTTGGTCTTCCCTACAGAGCTACTGATCGCTGTAATTGTGACACTCTAACTCTCAGATAACTGCCATAGAATTAGCAGTGCTCGGACCTCGTCTTTGAAGTCGATATCAAGAGACTCTAACTGCCCAACTATCTCGTCGAATGCATTTAGATGTTCATTGAACTTACCACCTTTGACCATTTTCATGTTGAACAACTTATTGATCAAGTGCACCTTGTTCGTTGTAGAAGGCTATTCATACATATTAGAAAGGGCTGCCATGAGAGACTTCATCATCTTCTCGTTTTTTATATTTCAACTGATTTTGACAACGTCAATCTGATGGTGCCAAAAGACTTCCTATTAAGTAATTCTCATTCTGCATTATTTGTTTATTCTGACACTCTCCCAAAGGTTGATACATATTTTTCTAAAACATGAAGTCTTCAATTTGCATCTTCCAGAAACCGAAGTTTGTGCCATCGAACTTCTCGATCATAGATGTGGATGTCTTATCTTTTGATGCCATTACTCCCACTCGAACAAATAGATCTGATCGAAAGACTTTCGAAATTTCGTCAAACATCTTCTGTGCCTTAGGTTCTCAACCAAAGGCTCTAATACTAGTTGTTGGAGTTGCATTGCACAATCAACCGGATTTGATACCAGTTATTGTGGCGGAAACACAAAATAAATAACACTGTTCAAGGAATAAATAAGCAATCACGAAAAAAAAAAAAAAAATCACATACAAGAACATAAGATATACATGGTTCAACCAAATCTTAGGGTTACGTCCATGGATCACACCGAACAAATTCACTATGAAGAAGATGAAGAATTACAATGGAGAATTTTCTCTCAATCTCTCTCAATTGCTCTCTCTTGTATTGGCACAAATTTATCTCTAACATTCACTCTCTAAAATCTGATTAGAGTTGATATTTATAGAGTCTTAAACTTGTACTACAATAACTTGCCTTTTGTAGAATCTAAAACCAATAAGGAAGTTAAATTAGATTAGGAAACTGAATTTTCCTTAAACCAATAAGGAAGTTAAAGCAAATCAGGAAACTAAATTTTCCCAAAAATTCAATACTTTTGAAGTTTCCATATAATTAAATTTTCCTAAAAGACAATTACCTAATCAGACTCCACAAAGCCACAACACACTATTCTCTATAATATATGTGGTAAATATTATTTTTATTTTCTTTATATATATGAAAAAAATGTATACAGTGCCCCATAATTTTTGTGGTTTCTAAAATTATATTTTTACTTTTTATTTACTTTCCCTTTTACTCTTTTAATTTCTTAAATTTCCTGTGCCCCATAAATTTTGTGGTTTCTAAAATTATATTTTTACTTTTTATTTATTTTCCCTTTTACTCTTTTAATTTCTTAAATTTCCTTACAAGAAATGGTCAAATTTTTATTTCTCAATTAAAACTTTTTAACTTTTTCCTTTTAAAATTCTCTTGTTTTTCTTTCCTTTTTTTTTTTTTTTTTATACTTAAAATTCTTCTTTTTAGCTTGCATATTTGAATAATTTTCTTCTCATTCTTATTCTTTTGTATTTTATATTTATTATGTTATATATATATATATATTTTGCATCGTGGCCCCTTCGACTTGAAATCGTGGCTCCGTTCCTGATTATGATAACGTCATTTATGTAGTTGGAGTAGTCTCTTAGACTCTGTACAGCTATAAAATTGTCTAGAATTGTAAATGAAGAAATTAAAATCAGTTTTAGTTTAGTTGAACTTTTAAACAAAAGATAAAATTAAATTGAATTTTTTTTCAAGTAAATATATATATAAATAGTTTATTTATGAAAATAAAATATTATACATACATACACATATAGGTTTCTACACAAAAATAAAAACACCTCCTATAATGAATAAGAAGGGTTATTTGCTATAAACTTCTTTTTAACACAAAAAAATATAGTAATTAATAGGGAAACGTGTTTCTCTACACAGAATTTGAACTCTCATTTTTGGTTTAAGAGTAGATATCACTACATTACACAGCCTCTTTAGTAATTTGCAAAAGCTTGTAAAATACATGAGTTATTATTATTATTATTATTATTTTATCAACCGTGAATGGAATTAACAATATAAATAGGGTTGAACAAGCAAGATCTATGTAATATGTTATACGTTATTTGCTTGTATTTGAATAACAATGTAGAATATAATTATTACATCAATGGTCCAAGAGAAAACAATGGGCTTTTCCAAAAGGCCTGTAGGACCTAAACAACTGGGTTTCGGGTGATAGACCTCTACTGATTATGTCTCCTGGGCTATCATTGCTTGCTCTTGGGCCTATTAGATGGGACCATTTGTCGTTACTCGACAATCCAAGCACCGCGAAGGACACTCGAAATTTGGAGTGTCCTTGTAGAGAGACTTTTAAGACTAGTAAAGGAGGCAACGACAAATGAACGAGTGCGCGGACACAAAACGCCACTAACCTAGGCCGTTCAAATTAGCAGCAAGGAACAAGGATAAGAAGTGGTGGACCATCTAATTTCACTTATTAGATTATGTTAATTTCATTATCAATGAGACCAGTGAGAAAATTAATAAATATTTTTTACTCTAAACATCACGGAGACAAAAATATATATATAAAAAAATTAATCTCAGGTGTTACAAATTTTTCTTATTTTAATAATTAAGGATACAAAATTAATAATTAAGGATACAAAATTAAATAAAAAAGGTATTATGGACGGTAGGACAATAAAAATAATAATTAATTGTGCATACAAAATATTATTTTTTTAAAAAGAAGGCAATAATAAATTCATCCCTCACTTCCTGGGAATCATCCGCTGATGAATGAGTTATTGATACACACAATTTAAAAGAATTTACTCTAATTTAAATGCACTAATTCCATGTAACCTAATATATTTTTAAAAAAATCATTTTGTTTTTCTTACACATTTTTAAATTAGAAAAAATTTAAATATTATTTTAAAACGGAGTCAATTAATGTTAACTCTTGTGCAATGGTCTCACGATATTGTAGTAAATTAAAAAGTCCATCCGACTCGAGCATCACTAAAACATAAAATAATCCAAGTCATGTGCACCTAAAATAACTGGATCAAACTTCCAACAAGTGAATTTTAGTTTGCCTTATTATTAAAAATAGTAATAATAATATATATAATTATATATATATATATATATATTTAAACCGATAATAATAATACTCCAACTAAGATGGAATATTTTTGTTCCTTGTTTGACCCCTTCTTCAATTTTTTTCCCTATGACGCGGCTACACGTGATTGGTGGTAATAATGGAATCCTGTATGCGCAACATCTTATTATTCTCCTAATCTATTACAAAAGGGTTCCATATTTACAGTAGCTATCATTCATAATTCACGCTCTCCTCTTCTTCCTCCTCCTCTCTGGTTATTCGCATCTGTGAAGTACCATACCCCCTCTCATTCACCCGTCGTATCTGATTGAAATCGGAAACACTAGGTTTTCTTGTCGATCGGATCTTGTACTCGAAGTTCACGTGCTTCTGAAATTTACCAACCTTGATCTTCGCTGTCTCATCTGATCTGCCCATCTCGCAAAAATGCCGTCGGTGTACGGAGCTCGAATGACAACGTTCGAAGATGCAGAGAAGGAGAGTGAGTACGGATATGTTCGCAAGGTACTTACTTTTCCACACACAGATATATGTTTATATATATATTCGTTTTCACTGTTGAAAACTTTGATTGGATTTGATCCAGTTGTTAGATCGCCGAGAAATTCGTTGACTTGCGCGGTTACTTATCATATTTCAATTTTGTCTTGTGATTTCCTGATCCGTTGTTATTTATAATTTAGTTTGAATTTTAGTGATTTACTTCGATTCACTGGGGTTACGAGTGATTTATGGGCTCTAACTGTGCTTATTGCTGTTCAGTTAAATTTGTTGGCTTTCTGTAGCGTAAGGATCAGTTATGCAACACTTAATTGGTTGAATATAAAATAATATTTTCAATTTATTTTCCACATTCAATTTTATGTGTTTATAACGTGGAAATTTTCAGATTCTAACTGCTATTATGAGAACTCTGTCTCTGTTTTTGATCTGTACTTTTTACTTATGTGATCCTCACTATTTCTGTTTCGTGGTTGAATAAGTAGGGAATTTAAAAGTTAAAAAGTCTTTTTGTAAATGGTGGCCTGGGAATGGAATTTGCACCCTCTATTTTAGATAGCAACTTGCTGCTTTAAACTGCACTCAGTTTTTTCTTTGGTTTTTCATTTGAATTTTTTTTGTTTATTAGTTTCTGAAACAGTAGGACTTGGTTGAGTTACTCGAGTATAGTATGCTTATATAGATCATAAAAAGTTTTCACCACACATACCACCATCCTGTTGATACCCTCTTTCCTTCCACCAGAGAAGACACAACATGTTAGTAACATTTTTTTTTTCCCCTGTAATTGAAGGTTTGATTATCTATTCTATATACGTAATTTAATATCGGATTCTTACTACCCAGTTAATATCTCTGTCATTACTTTTTCAACTTATATTATTCTATCTTTTTGGTCACAATATTCAACTGTCATAATAAATGTTTTGAAGCCTCTTGGTATATATATATATATATATATATATATTACTCTGGTTATGGTCATTTTAGGGCAGCTTATTGGATCCTTTCACTTGAATCAAATTAGAAGCAATCAGATAACTTCGGCAGCGAAAACAAATTTTGTTTTTCAGCAAAACTCATTTTAATGCTTGATTGCCATAGCGATTGTTCTTTCTTTTGCTTTTTCTTTGGCAGGTAAGTATTCACACGCACACATGCACCCCCACCAATTGCCCCTTTGGAGACTTGAACCCTCAGCCTCCCTTGAGAGGAGGAAATGCCACTTGAACTGAGGACTTGATTATGGTGGTTTTTCTTTAACAAATTTGTTTCAGCAATTGTTCTTTTATTTTTATAATTAATTTAACTTGTTTCAGTTATATTCATCAACAACAAATTTGTGGTGCAACTATGGTTCAACTTTATTTTTGTTTGCTAATATGATCACCTACCATAAATGCTTATATTTGTGTGCTTATTGCATGTTGTCTGACAGGTTTCAGGACCAGTCGTCGTTGCAGATGGAATGGCAGGGGCTGCTATGTATGAACTGGTTCGTGTCGGAAATGACAACCTTATTGGTGAAATTATTCGGTTGGAAGGAGATTCTGCTACAATCCAAGGTTTTTAATTTATTTATTTTTGGACACTTTCAAATGCATTAATTTATGTTATAGTGTATTCTGGTGGCCTAGCATAATGCCATTGTTAGCATTTGTAAGGGCATTGGTAATTTTCCTGGCACTTTGGGGTTTGCATATGTGTAGTCCATCGTCTCTCTTGTTCTCGTTCTCGCTCTCTCAATTTTTTTGTTTCTAATTTTTGCTAGTTATAGTATGCTATGTGATGAAACTAAGAGAAAATTAACTTTGAAATTTAAAATTCTTGTCTATTCTCATGTCAGTTTATGAAGAAACAGCTGGGTTGATGGTGAATGACCCTGTTCTACGAACACACAAGGTACTTTTGTAATATTATTTCTACATGTTTTATAAAGTGCCCCTTTTTTTGGTTGGTTATAGATTGAGCATTAAATGCACTAAACTATAACTTTTTCATTGACTAGCCTCTATCAGTGGAGTTGGGTCCTGGAATATTGGGAAATATCTTTGATGGTATTCAGGTGTGTGAAAACTCTACTTGTTCATTACGCTCAACCTCAATTTGATCCGAGTGCCAATTTTTTATTTTTAAGTTTTGTGTTTCAGACCTTGCTTGAAGAGAGCCACTACCTAATGGTGGCCCATTTTCTCACTTCCTTTTCAATATATTTTTAATGCAGAGGCCATTGAAGACCATTGCAAAAATATCTGGCGATGTTTATATCCCTCGTGGTGTCTCTGTCCCAGCCCTTGACAAAGACATACTTTGGGAGTTCCAGCCTAAAAAAATAGGTAACCCAGAACATTCCTCAATAATTGTTTAAAGCTGACCAGAATGAATGTCATATAAATTGGAAATACTTGATGCCTATCAAAATTGACTTCATCCACTGGTGGCAGGTGAGGGAGATCTCCTGACAGGTGGAGATTTATATGCTGTAAGTTCGATCGAAATCAACTTATATGTAGAAATTGGAGCTCTTTCAATTTTATTTATTTGTTTATATAATGGCACATGCGTCTGCTCATTTATTTATTTTCATTACATTTCGTCTAATTTTTTGCATGAATCACTGTGCAGACTGTTCATGAGAACAGCTTGATGCAACACCATGTTGCACTTCCTCCTGATAATATGGGAAAGATTTGCTACATTGCTCCACCTGGTCAATACTCGCTGAAGGTTTGTCTGTCCAACTTAGTTGTCAAGCCATTTTGATCAGCCTATGTAGCCGCTTTATTTGTTCTCCAATATTTGTATTATGGTTTTGCTACATTAGAAATACCTATATGTAGCTTGCTCTTATCCAAAGAAAATATTGTTTTCTAGGCCATTTATATAATAACATCTCTCTATCTCATCATGAAAGATGCAAATCATTGATTAGGGAAAAAAATATGCAAATAATTTTATATATCTGTGTTCTGTGGATATGCATGTCTATTGGAGACAACAATAGTCTAAATTAGTAAATTGTCGAAATTATTTTAGACAAATCTAATTTTTTAATGGATATATTTTATTATTACCTTCATGTATATCCAATTAACAAAAACATTTTTTTGAGTTTATTTGAACTTTTTTTTTTTCAAATCAATTTTGGTTTTCAATACCGTTGATGATATATAGAATGCAATTTTAGTAATGCACGAATTGTGATATGGTTTGCTTTGGAGGTCATGCAAAGCAAATCCCACAAAATAAAAGGGATTATGAAGAACGACATATTATGTATGCCATTTTTTTTTCATTTTTTCTAGTCAAGAAAGTAGCCCCATCTTAACAAGAGCTGTACTGATGGTTTTCCCCTCTTCTTTATTAGTTACATCACCTTCTATGTCTACCCTTCCCTTTTCCTTTGGATCAGGATTCTGGGGAAATTATAAATTTTGCTAAAAGGAATACCTCCAGACACTTAATGAAATGGCTTTAGGGAATTAATAGGCAATGTCCAGATTTGCAGGTTTATCAGCAAAGAACAATGCTATTGGTTGAACAGATCTACCCTACATGAAAATTGTCATTAAACAGAACCCATTTTATTTTATTTTTTTCAAAAATGGATGGAAGCAGTAACATTCCCTAATTGCAAACTTAAACATCTGAATCTTTATTCTTGAGTGAATGAAACATACGATTCTGAATTCGGAGCTCCTTGAGAAATCCTCAGCTAATGAAGGCATATATACAGGTAAGGAAAGGAAGGAGAGCTGAACTACATAAATGAAGAAATGAATTATAAGAATAGCCCATGACAATTACAAATTAGGCCCAGTGGATGTATTGCCTGCCGATTACAGTGAATTTCCATTTACTTCATGATATAATCTACTGTGTAAAATATGTTTCATACGAAATTCACCTTCCAATATAGATATAGAACTTTAAGTTTATATTAGTGAGCCAATCCATTTTACTTAATATATATTTTTTATTTTATATTTAACCCACCCATCATTATCCATTTCGCTTTAATTTTTAATTTATATGAAAATTTTTATGCATTTTTGTTTTTTATTACCTCTGCTAAACAATAATCAGATTTGCCTTGCTGTTTAATTCCTTTTCCCATCTTTTGGGGGAAGTAAGAAATTTCTTCAGACACGGGGATGAGGAAAGAAGATTTTGATTGGCGTTATTGTTTCAAGACGTGATGAAATAAGTTTTAGACTATGCAAAAACTAAAATTGTTATTTTATTGCATGTATTGACTTCTTATGTCTATGCAGGACACTGTGTTAGAGCTTGAGTTTCAAGGTGTCAAAAAGAAGTTCACTATGCTTCAGGTTATTTTTCTGTAAATTACAGTCTACTTTCGTAGTTTGATGTGAACTGAATATTCAAATGTGTGAACATTTATCTCACGTTGGTAATGTGTAACGCATCTGTAGACTTGGCCAGTACGTTCACCAAGACCTGTTGCAACAAAGCTTGCTGCTGATACTCCTCTTCTTACCGGGCAGGTAAGTAATGTGCAAAGTAGTTCAACTGCCTAATTCTTATTTTATGTTTACCTATGGCTGCTTTATTTTGAGATTTGGTGTCTCTGATGTCTTTGCTATGTATCAGCGTGTTCTTGATGCCCTTTTCCCCTCAGTTCTTGGTGGGACTTGTGCCATACCTGGAGCTTTTGGCTGTGGCAAAACAGTTATTAGTCAAGCACTTTCCAAGGTGAACTTGTTTTGGCATATTTCCAAATTTAAGATTCTGCAACTCATCAGTAGTTATCAAGTGTTCTCTATTTTGTTCAATTTTTAATTAAATGTCTTTATGCAGTATTCTAATTCGGACACTGTTGTTTATGTTGGTTGCGGGGAACGGGGAAATGAAATGGCGGAGGTATGTATGCAGTTATTTTTCCCCCCTCCCTATCATCAGTCACCATTTTTAATTTTTGAAGATGTTCACTATAGAAAACATTTCCTATTTAGGTTCTTATGGATTTTCCTCAATTGACAATGACACTACCTGATGGCCGTGAGGAATCTGTGATGAAGCGCACTACACTTGTGGCAAACACTTCAAACATGCCTGTGGCTGCTCGTGAGGCTTCAATTTATACAGGTAACAAATTTTTGCTACTTAATCTTGTTCAACTCTTCAAACATTTAGCTGTATAAACTTTGAACATGATTTTTCTTCAATGTGGGCTCATAATATGTTATGAGTAATATTACTGCTTCCTTTACGTATAAAATTTCTATATAGCATGATTTTCTTTTAATTTTAACTGGGGGACACGAATGGAAAGGGTATACAAAGCTTTTGTTGGGGCATTTTGAGGTGACTAAATTATCTTGTAAGAATGGATTTCCATTTTTTTAGGTCCCTCCGTGTTGTGCAGCCTGCTAAAAAATGGTTCATGTAACTTCGTTCCTCAAAGTTGCTTTTTATGCACCCAGGGAACGAGTGTTCCAGTTTCTGCTAACTTTCATTTTCATGAACATGCATGGATGCTGTTACTAATTAGGTCTTTTTTTTTCTTTTCTTTTTTTATTTTTTTATTTTTTTATTATTATTATTTTTTTCCCCTTTCATGTTCCAATACTTATATTGGTATCATGTGAGAATTTTAATTTGTCCGCAAAGGCATTTAAACTTTAATACTCTAATTTGTTTGATTGTGAGCTTTCAGGAATCACTATAGCTGAATACTTCAGAGATATGGGCTACAATGTCAGTATGATGGCAGATTCAACATCTCGCTGGGCAGAAGCATTGCGTGAAATATCGGGTCGACTGGTAAGTGTTCTGATTTTAGCCTATGTAACAACATATTTTCCCTTTGGTTCTGGAAAAGATTTTCTTCAAATATCTCCTATGTTATATCACTTTTTGGGATGCTAATTCTTCATTCACGCTAATAAGTGAGTTTTTCAACTTTTATCCTAGTTACTTTCATGAATTTGTTGTATCAGGGTTGTCCCATTTTGTGTGTTAACCCATGATGCTGTACAGAATTTTCATGATATCAGCACTAAGTAGTGTTATTCTTACATTTTGACTTGTGCCACTGGCTTCTCTCGCCCTCTCACATTTCACTTCTCTATATCCTTTACTCTTGTACATACATACTTTGTGGTTAGAGTGGGTGATTTTGAACATATTTTTGTAAAAGGGAATTGGGTTACATCCATAGTATTTATAGCTAATCAGTTCCGGTCCAAGGACAGGATGAATTAGATCAAATAATTGGATTTTGTTGATCTGTAAAATGAGGACCAATGGTTGAAGGAGGAGCTATCTCTTTGGGATGATATATAGGATAGCGCATGACCCATAGCTTGTATCATTCTGTATGCATCTGCTGTCTAGGTGTTAGTTTTGTAGTTTATGAATGAAAAGCTTCCATGAACAGCTGTTTCTTTCCATTTTGGACCTTCGAGGCTCGAGTGATAAAGGTTTCCTTGTGTTTGATATAGTATTTGGGGAAAACATTTCTCAACAACTCCAGTGTTCTCGTAACTGACTGTCCTTCGGCCTTGCAAATGTCACAATCACGTGGCTGGGCCTGTTGGGGAGATTCAGCTCATGATATGCTTTTGAATCTGCAATTTTTTAACAGCACTTTCTATTCCTTAGCATAGTTTAGCCCGCACACTGCAATGGAATCTGAATTTTGACTTTGTCCTTAGCTTGCTGCTTGCGTTAACTGTGTTGTTATTTCTCATTCAGGCAGAGATGCCTGCAGATAGTGGATACCCTGCTTATCTGGCAGCTCGTTTGGCCTCCTTCTACGAACGTGCTGGTAAAGTAAAATGTCTTGGTAGCCCAGAGCGTACTGGTAGTGTCACAATTGTTGGTGCTGTTTCTCCTCCTGGAGGAGATTTCTCTGATCCTGTAACATCTGCCACCCTCAGCATTGTCCAGGTAATGATGAAATTTTGTGTGGATTTTTGTATATCATAGTTTACCCAAGGGTAACGCACATCACTGAACCATGCATTCTGTGTGTAAAATTTGCCAAGCGTTAGTTTTCCAGCTGTTGAATTGGATTTCTTCTTTTAAATTCTCTATAACATTGAGCCCACATGGGTGCAGCAACACAATTTCATCATTCAAGGTTTAATTTTATAAATTGATCTACTTATTTTTGCAGGTCTTCTGGGGACTGGATAAGAAACTTGCCCAGAGGAAACATTTCCCCTCTGTAAATTGGCTTATTTCCTACTCAAAGTATTCGACGGTGCGTTCTAAAAATTTTCTCCATAATAGAAAATTCTGAATATGTGAACCCTTGCAGCATTTTAGCCTTTCTCCCTTGAGCACTACTGTCTATGTTGCATCCACCTATTCATTACATTCATTTCTCTCGTATTTGCAGGCATTGGAGTCTTTCTATGAGAGATTTGATCCAGATTTTATTAATATCAGGACAAAAGCTCGTGAGGTGCTGCAGAGAGAAGATGACCTGAATGAAATTGTCCAGGTATGAAATTTTTTTTTTTTTTTTAATGTCCTATTACACCATGACATTTAATATGAGATTAAACCAAAAATCCTATGGAAGTGTTTTAGATCAGGAAAAGAGGAAAATGATCGGTTTGGCCACCATTTTGAGGGCTTTCGTCTTTCCCACTTGGAATTATTGGTTTGAGATCCAAATCCATCTAACATATTACGGAGCTGCTGCCCCCTTCCTTTCTTTTCTCCTGCTTATTTCGCTAGATGATTAGAAAATAACGATCGCCATAGAAAGATTAGGTTAGGTTTTGGAGTAATGAGGCTGTGTGATAATACACGCTTTCCACGGGCTTAACTGAGGTTATGACATTACATAAAGACAAGAGAAGGATCCATGTATAAGACCTGAAATAGTGGGTGGTATTAACACTTCATGGATGTTTGATTTCAAAATATTGCGCAAAAAAGGAATATAATCTTCTGGAGAGCATCCGATTTTGCATTAATAAATTCTACTTGGAGAAAAACAAAGGTATTTTGGTGGGGCTGTAGAAGTGGTATCCAATATAGTTTGAATCCTGAATCAGTCCAATGGCATCCGGCGTTTGTGCTTTGCTCATGTAAAACTCTTTTTATTCCTGCAATGAACTAAGATTATATTATACTTTCTAAAAGAAAATTTGTGCCACTCGTATCTTGTTAGTGTTTCCCTTAGTAGCACTTTATGCAAATAATTTTAGAGAGTTGCTTTTCCCGTGTGTACTACTTAAAGAGTGTGGCTATTTTGCTTACGGCAGCTGGTTGGAAAGGATGCTTTAGCTGAAACAGATAAGATTACCATGGAGACTGCAAAGCTTTTGAGGGAGGATTATCTTGCTCAGAATGCATTTACTCCGTAAGTTGCATCTTATTTCTTAATCTCTCTACTAACTGGTAACTAATATCCATCGACTCATCTCATGAAATTTGTTTGTTATTTTAAAACTTTGTGTATGTCAGATATGATAAATTCTGTCCTTTCTACAAATCTGTTTGGATGATGCGCAATATAATCCATTTCTACAATTTGGCCAATCAGGTACAATATTTTTTGTTTCTTCCTTTTCTTTTCTTTATGGTCTAAAGTTTTTGCCCCATATCCCATTTGCATCTAATATCATATCTATTACCTGATAACCACTTCCCCCCATTCTTGAAGCAAATATTGATATTGTCTACTGTTGGTCCGGTGATCTGGGGTTTCGAGTAGGGTGGACCGGTAGATACCTTTTTGGCAACATTTGCACAACCTGAAGTCACATTCTTATGCTCAATGGATCGAGTTTTTACCATTGCAAAAAGCAATAACTCTTTTCTAAGATAATAAAAAATAAATTCTGTTTTTATTATGATTGTGTCTTATTTCAATACACGATCTAGAAGTATATCAAGAGGAAAACATCACATAGAAATTGCAACCTTCAAACTTATTTGCTAGAGCATTTAATACTTCTGTTAATTGTCTCATCTTCACTGCAACTGGATGGAGCATATGTACAATTATCAGATCAAAACTTGAGCTGGGTTTAGTTTTGTGCGCCAAACTCTTTTCCTCTGTTCGTTAAGAAACTGTTTTCAATATGAATGATTTGTGAATCTTTCTTCATGTGACGTTGCAGGCAGTTGAGCGAGGAGCTGGTATGGACGGCCAGAAGATATCTTACACCCTTATCAAGCATCGGTTAGGAGATCTATTCTACCGATTAGTGTAAGTGAAGTCACAGTCAATGACACAGAATTCCTTTCAGTTGCTGTTTTCTCAAGGCAGCATGTTTGATTAATCTATTTGACAATTACAGGTCTCAGAAATTTGAGGATCCTGCCGAAGGGGAGGAGGCTCTTGTGGCAAAATTCCAGAAGCTTTACGACGATCTGACAACTGGTTTCCGGACCCTCGAGGATGAAACCCGATGATCAAGATTTTGACACATTTTCGTGGATCCACAGAGTGGGAAGTCCTATCTTTTGGGAAGTTGGTAATCCTGTTTTATTTCTTGCTGTAAGAAAAAACCAGGTGAGATACGTTTGTATGTGCCCCCCACAATGCGGCGCTGGTTTGGTCTATATTTGATTTGGCTTGTTTAGTTATATTTATTTTTGTATTTTAGTGTCGAATAATAAGAGGTCATGTGGCTTTTGATTCCTATTTACATATATCCTGGCAATAAGTTATGCGCTGCTTCAACATTGATATGTTTGTGTTTTAGTTCTCTTCTTCACGAATGTGTAGTTTGGTATCTTGGATGATGCGACAAATGGTGTGGACACATTATTTTGTTTGAATTTACTGTGTCAAGTTTATTACTGGTAGTTTTTTTTCCTTTTGTTATTTGCTAAGACATAAGCATACATCTTATGGCAATGACGGGAGCCTCGTGCCTCATGAGTTGGGCCGACCTGACCCTTAATTAGATTAAATTCTTAAGGGGAAACACAATTTAGTTTTGCATGGGGGAACAGGCATATTTGATCAAATGAAGTGGTCAAACAAAAAGGCTGGTGTGATTCTGAGGTGCAACTTTAATTGGCGTGTACCACGAACTTCTTTAATCGACCTTAAAGGGTATATCGAAATTTCATGGGTTGCAAATCATTTGTCATAGATTAAAACTAATGATAGGGGTGCTAAATCCAAAGGTGTGAGCAGCCTCATTGACCTCAATTTCTTTAGATTCTGATTCAACAACATCCCTTGCAACTTTTACAAGTCCTTCATTCTCTATTAACTCACTGTCTCGACAACCGACCGCAATAGCAACATTCACACAATCTACATGAATCCGAAGGAATTCCCATGAAAATCACAACTTGACCTCAAACACAAACTCATGAAATGGTCAAAAATGAATTCTAATAAGGGGGAATGGTAGAACACGTCCGAATTGGTCCGTTCTTGAGTCTAAACTGACCGCGTCGAAATGAGATTTTCAATGGTACCAATTAGAACTTCAGATTCCATTTGTAACTCAAGTTATTCAAGTTTTAGTGAAGTAGTGTTAGGATTTGGTTTGAACCGGGATAGGGTTTCCCTTCCTTCGACTTTGGGACTTGATATCTTTGCCATCCGGACTCTGAATCATGCGATTCTTAAGTCTAAATTCATTAATTTTTCTTTGTCTTTCCAATGGTATGCTACGCCCTGATTTAAACGAAAAAAAAAAAAACATTTTTTAGCAACTTTTTGGCCAAATAGCATTAAACCCCTTTGTGCTATCAAAAAGTTGTGAAAAACCCCTCTATTATTTTTTTATTTTTTTTATTTTTATTATTATTATTTTTTGTGTGTGACAATAAATACACTCAATTTATCCAAAGTTAAAAATTACCCAGATTTGGCATACAAAAATTGGAAATTTTGGTGTTAAAAGTGCTAGGGTGCACATGCATATTGTTTTGACAAAAATATAAGTACTCTACTTCTGTGAAGTAAAATGGGCATGTGAGATATTTTCGTTAAAACAATCACACGTGTCATGTGCTGCATTATACACTATTTTGCAACTTTTGGTTTATTGAGGGTGTCTGTTGCACAACAAATAGTGTTTGATAGCACGGATTTAGTGCAATTTGGCCTAACTTTTATGATGAAAGACATACCCCACCATAACTAAGGGTGCATTTGGTTCTACTATTTTCTTTGAAGTTTTCCAGAATTCTAAAAACTACAAAATATATATATATATTATGAATCACAGTTTCACAAAAACATAAAGTAGGCAAAAACATAAACTAGTTCTTAAGTCCCGTTAGGATATATATGCGAAGCCGAAAAAAGTAGGAATAACAAACACTATTTATGATGGGACTCAAATCAACAAATCTAACATGTTCACTGGATACTTCAATAACACCATCCCTTGTTTTTCGGGAAAAAAAAAAAAACAAAAGAAGAAAGAAAATCTTTTAGATGCTATTTTTCTACTTTTAGTTGCCTCTGGCTCGCTTCCACCCATTCAACCAATGCATCATCTAGGCAGTGCCATTTTGCAGTGTCAGAAAAATGAATAAACTAAATAATTCATCTAGTAAAATAGAAAAATACAATTGAAAAAGTACTAGTAATATGAGTCAAATCCACGGTGATGGACACAAACGTTTTAATCAAACCCAGCGTACAATATCATCAGATTTCAAGGACCCATCAATACTGCGAACGACACAATGATTTCATGCAAGGGTAATTCTTACAAAGAGTAGGTTGTTTCACTTGATTTCCAAATCAGTGAGTAACATAGACGAATCAGCTACAAAATACAGCAAATTCCTTAACAGATATAATGCATAGATGCTGACAGAAGCAGCACTCTTTGCAAAATGATATTTGAACTGTTGATGAAGGAAGCCGCATCTTCGGCCCTATCACACTCGTATAGCCAAATTTAGCCAGGACCAACCTTAGGAATGTCATAATGCTCACTCATGTTTGCCAGATACTGGTTGAAATCCTGAATCCGATCACGGTGTGATTTATTAGCTGTCTTGGCTAGCCTGCAGACATCAATTTGCTCCCTTTGCTCCATATAGCGTCTCTCCGCTGGGGTGAGATGTTCATCATAAGAAGCCGCGTTTCCTTCCCCACTGGATTTGTTGGCATCGTTAATATTTTCCTCGTTGAGATCAGTCGATATTATTGCACTTCCATCTACACGAAATACCACAATACAATTTCAAGAACAGTTAAAATCAAATGCAAGCAGAGAGGAAAAAAAAAAAAAGTAGAAAAGTTCACATGTCCAGCATCCAATGCTTTTGACCCCTCAAGACACTGCTTTAACAAATCAGATTGAATTCGGATGATTAGACTGTCACTTGCACCAGTCACCAAAGTTTTAGTTACGACTGGCATCATGGGCAGTTTAAAGAAAGTACCTCAATAATTTCAGACTGTCTTAATTAAATTCAAAATTGTTGTCATTTGAAATTTCTACATGATCTATTTAATTTTTGTGAAAAATTACTAGGTTGCTCAAAATGTAGAACATTAAGTTTTAACTAAGTTGACCCACAGGAAGCAGAAACCACCTAAATCATTACTGTTTGCAGCCAAAATCATACAAGTCAAGATTTAAAAATTTGGTGGAAAGAGTATTTGAGACAGAAAACCCAAAGCAGGTTATACGTGACCAATCTCAGGTTCATAACCAAGACTCAATCGAGGGCCATAGAAGACCAAGCTTAACAACACCAACCATCAACAATCGCAGACCTATGGCCATTCAGTTCATGACTCATACCAGTTCACGGTGGCTCATAAAATCTCAAGAAATGGTCGACCACAATCTCTAAGCATGTTCGTCAAAGGCATAGCTTCCTAAGTCCTAATTGGAGTACATTACTCAAAATATAGAAAATTAAGTTCAACAAAATTCTTGACTCCGCCACTAGGCCACAAGCCTTGGTTCTTGACTATGTACTTGAATCAAGCAAATGGTGGATCATTAATTTTTACATCATCAGCATCATGAACAATAAACACATGATACTAAATTCTCACAGCAGATTATCTATTTTGTCGGGAGTTCTATCCAAATAATATAATATAGAGCCTTCATATCTTGCTTTGCATCTTCCCTGCTCCCATTCACTTCAGTTGCATTCCTCAAACAAATAGTTGCTACATAATAAACGAACTAATTACTTCTAATTTTAAAAAAATGGTTCAAACCCAACTGACAGGTTTAGCGAGCTAGGATCAGTCACCAGAATTCAACTCAAATTGGAAAAAAAGGCCAAAAACACATCAATAAAGACAGGAAATGCACACATGAACTATAAATAACTTTCAGATATTGAAAAACCAGTATACTTAAGTTCTAGTAATGCATGTATCCTTATAGGTAGGCACAACGATTCCATATATTCAATGCTTCTGTGGAGAAGACAACCAACCTGCTGAAAGTTCGTTGTCAATGACTTGAGAACTTTGATCATTTTGCTTCTTATGTTTCTTTTTCTTCTTCACCCCACCCGCCTTCACATCCAGGGCCTTTCCCTTTAGCTTCAGCTTCCCACCAACAACATTCTCAAACGCAGACATTTTTCCTGTCAAGATATTTCAAGGAAATTGTTAAGACAAGTATGTTTTCTTTCAGTAGATAAAAATCAAGGCACAAATATCGATAAGTGGTAAAGAAATGTACTATAAAGCAATGTTGAAGACAATAGAGATAGTTCAATTCAAGCAATTAATAATAAGATTCCACCATTGGCCAACTTTTTTTGATCCAATCATCAACATTCTATTTACAATGAAGAGCATAATCCCGTAGAATATTATATTGCTCATGCAATACCATGTTCGCAAAAGGAAACTCTTCATGTTCTTCCCTACACAAGTACATACACATTAAATTCGACGGCTTTAGGTAAACACGAGTGTTTAAATAAAAACATTAATGTCCTAATTGCTGAATAACGACCAAAGGCAACAGTTAAGAAGCTAATAAGCAAATGAGGCAATTATATACTCGAATAAACAAAATTTCAAGTTCCAACTACTTGGCGAATCCTGCATTGCCATTTAGCTCTATATCGGGCCATATTTGTGAAGCAACTTATCTATGCCGTCAAAATCAAGGAATTCAAGGATGAAAATAGACTGGGGTTACAAAGTTTGTAAAACCCTTTTTTCTGCCACTTTGTATTTTATATGGAGTGAAAGGAATGGAAGGGTCCATAATGCTGTTGTTAGAAGTTGTAGATCCCTTTTGAAATGTATTGTTTGGGAGGTTTTGGATGTCTTGGGGGTTTCTCTCCAAGATGTCCTTTCCTAAGTTTGTTTTGTTTGGTTTGATAGGGGTCTCTCTATCCTTCTTTTTTAATCCTGTAAAGGGATTTATTGTGCAGTGAGGGTATGCCTTCATTTCTTGCTTGTACTTTATTGTTTTTATCTATAAATTTTTCTTCATTTAGGGAAAAAAATAAATAAAAAAAAATAAAAAATAGACTGGGGTTGAAAAAAAAAATGATATTTGAGCAATAATTCTTTAAATTCTCCAATATTTGTATGCAAGCAAAAAGATCAATCCCTTGATAATAGCACATCCAGTTACATAAAAAAAACGTAAAGTGGCTTCTTTAATTTATCCAATAAAGCTACTTTGTGGAACAAAATAGAGCTGAATGAAATACTTCAACAAAAATATATATATACTAACATTAGACCCACCACTGTTCAACATCACCCCACATTAATATGCACTCCTTTTCTCGATTTCAGATCCGTCCGGGAGAATCTGAAACTTCAATTACCCTTTCCCCACAACTTTATGATCCTTGATAAATCATTAAAACTACAAAAATCCCTATGCAATCTAAAACTCAAGGACTGCACACGCAAGTGTTTCAATTTCCCAATGAAACTGCTTCATAAGATCTCATATAAATTAAGTATCTTGAAGACCACCAACATCACCATTAGTGAAATCACTCCTCCTCCAAAACATCCATCTTTAATGAAATCGCCCATCATAAATAAAACTTTGGGTTTTTTCGTTATGGGGCAGTCGGGATACGTACAATTTGAAACACACATCCACTGTCACGGACATATGTGTGTATATACATATGGAACGAAAAAATAAATTAGAGAAAATCGTGCAAAATTTACATAAGATAATAGAACAATAATGCGAAAATAATAAAATCTGCCAATCGCAACCCAAAATTGGATTTTTTTTTAAATTCAGAAACCTCTTATGGTAAAAGTTTTATCTCATAGATAAAAGGTTTGTGTGTATAACAGTATAAATATTATATATGATTCAAAAATAACACAAACCCTAGAACTGTACCTGGAACGCTATACTCGGGAGCTAGTCCTTTGAGAATTTCCGAGGAACCAGAGAGAAAGGGGTGGACAAATGAGGGAGAGGCAAGTTTGTAAAGGAATATGGATTGGGCCTGGAAAGTCAATAAGTTTATAAAGGTAAAAGCCAATGGGCCTGTCCCTTTAGGACTTGGATTTTGAGTTTATATGGTTAATGTATATAGTTTATCCAACTTTAATCAATACCTGCTATTAAAAAAAATAAAAAATAACCTGCGTTTTTAGGATTTAAAAAAAATAATTAAACCAAACATGTTCTCCATAACTTGCCCATTTAAGGTGTAGGTGTTTTGACTGAATTTTGAAACAAAATATCAACTTTATGAAAGGCATTACATCTTTCTAAACATGACTTCTGCCTTCTTCTTTTTTTTTTTATTTTTTTTTATTTTATTTTTTTTCAAATTCTGAATTTATAGAATTCTCAATCTTTATCCCCTTTCTTCATGCCCTTCTTGGATTAATAGGATTACAGCCAACATGTTTCTATTTTACATTTCATAATTATTATTGTTTAATTTTTATGCATATAATTTTCTAGAAATTTACAAAATGCTCTACTAACCTCCCATTTTTCTAAAAATCTCTCTATTTATTCCTTTCTTTTCTTTTCTATTCTTATTTTGCTTCAATTTTTCCTTTTTTTTTCTTCAAATAATTTGTATTCCCCTCTCTCAGGACAATCTTAGAGGAATTTTAGAAGTAGTCACTTCATGCATGGAAAACGGAGCTCAGTACATATATTGAAAATGTTTGATGTATAAGTGATGCTATGTTTCGTATGACATTATCGGTGTAATCAACTAATTATATCTTGTAATATGAGTAAAAATATAGAAATTTTAGTTCGTAATATTTAAAATAATTAACCAAGTGTTGATAGTGGTTCAGGATGATATGAGGATTATACTCCGCGTGAGTCAGGAGTGCTGAGATCAGTATCCAAGTGGGGACCCAAGCAACACAAGGGATTCCCTGGAACTCAAAGATTGATAAAGGGAAGGCAATGTACGGTGATACCCAGTAGGTTTGAGCTCGATGGTAATTGGTTGTTGGAAATCTCTTAACTCTGCCTTTAAGGCTAATTAACTTTTCCTATTTATAATGCCTCCGAGCGGTCAATATCCGTTGGTTACAGAGGTGAGTTCCCTCTTGTCCGAGGGATCGAGGACACCTCCCTCTGACAGATGGGACATTGCTCATCGGGTGGAGGTACCTCCCCCCTTTAGTCCAAAGAGGAAGAGCCGCTTTACCCCCTAGTCTAAAGGGAAAATGGCGCTTCCTCATTAATGCTAGTCATGTCGGTTGTCATTTATAATTAATAACCTCTTTTAACCCCATCTAGAGCTCGACCATAGGTATCGGTATCCTTTCCCCCTTGTGCCGACCTACGAGAGGCGAGCCCTTGGATCCCAACCACCTGTCCACATTTTCTCAGACTCCCGATTTTGAAGGTAGAGAACGGATCTCCTCAAGGTATTGCCTTCTCGACCTTGCAAGATCCAGTTCGAATCATGGCCCCTCGAGTTCAGAGTGAGAGGAGCTCGGGGTAACAGACCTTGGTCTTCGAATTCCCTTCAGATCCCAAGTTGGGAATTCGAGGTGGCCAAACTTCGAGGTCCCCTCGTGTTCATGGCGAGGGGAGCTCGAGGTGACAGAGGTAATCACGTGCCCGAGATCCCGTCTGCAGGTAGGGACCTCGAGCGATAGATAGTGCAATGAGGAGGAACCCATCCGAATGGAGAGTGGTACATCCTTGAAGGAGTGAAGGGTAGCGGCCCCTTCCTCGCTAGTATTTCCAGTTATGGGGCGAGCAGCCCAGGATTACTTGTCCCCTTTTCTCGATGACACGCCAGATAGATTTTAGCCAAGTGTGCCTGTTGAGATAGGTGGGGCCACATAAGCAGATGATGCGAAACATCTGTTCAAGGAGGTGCCACATAGACTGGTGATGTGGCGAGTTCATCAACACCAAGTGAATACACTTGTGCATTAAATTTTATTTTTCTCGGGTGGCGAAAAGAAAAAAGAAAAAATGGATATGTTTGAAGTTTTGGGAGTTTGACTTGATGAGAATGGTAGGAAGTGGAAGCACATGCAGAAGTAGACATTCAAAAGACAATGGCAGACTTTCTGGTGGTGAATTGAAACCTCGTGTGCTGGAACAAAATAGTTGAAGATGTAATTTTCAATGTGAATTAATTAATATTCCCGAGAGATTAAGAAAATTATTGTAGGAAATTAAAGTTGATGGGTGGGAATTAATTTCAATGTAGAGGAGATTAAGCACAGCTTAAACAGTATTGGTGGCAAAATAGTTGAAGTATGAACTGGTGGTTGAACATGTGCTTCAAAAAGAGGTTTCCGGCGAAATATATAGTTTTGGCAGTTAAATGAATGGGCTGATGGGTTGGTCAGTGACCGTTAGGTAATACCTATGATTCAAAATCTTCCGGGAAAGTACGTACTTTAGCAAAATAATTCTATTCTTCCAATCTCTCGCACAAACAGACATAGAGAGAGATTGAAATTGGCAAAGTAAGGATGAAGAATGGATATGCATCTCCATCATCATCTCCTCCGACACCTCCATCCCCTCTTCCAATTAGTGTAGGACCCGGCCACCAGAAGTATTCCTTCTCCTCGTCTCCGTCGCCATCGCCGCCTTTCTCGCCGCCTCCATCCAGCCACACATCGGCGGAGAACATCCCACTTCTAGATCACAACTTGCCCATTGATCCACCCAGAGAGCAGCCATCGGCATTTTCATTGGATCGTCAAGACCCTGATCAATTGGAACCCAAAAACTCATGCCTAAAAAACTTGTAAGCCCCTCTCTCCGTCTCTAATGGCGGAATTTCAATTAAAATAATGGTATATTACATTTTTCAAATTCAAGTTAGAATATATATTTATTTGTGACTAATATTTGCAATTGGGTGATTGGATTATTGTGTCATTCTACATAGGAATTCAATATTTCTGCCGACCGTCATATGTATTGCTTCTTTTTTATTTTTTTATTTTTAATTTTTAATTGTTTTTTTATGATGGCTTCCACTTAGACTGGTAGGTTCTCTTCATACTCAACTTTAATACAAAAATTACCCAACAACCAGTCAAAACTGATACAGGTGGAAAAGTACATCACCCCATGCAAAGGGCATGAAGTGCAAACAAAGTATGGTACATATTGCAAAAAGAAGAGAACAAAGTTAAAGAGATTGATTATATATTTTTTTAAACCAGTTGATCAATTTGTTCTAAGCATGTCCAGGTTTAGCAACTTTACTCATCCTCATTCCAATTTTAAAAAGTGAATAGTACATTTTTTCATATGTCTTGGGTGTTCAAGTTGTACTCTAAAACGGAACAAAAAAAAAATTATGATGCCTCGTCATTAAAACTAAATGTTAGGTTTGATTGTTATATATCTTCCAACAACTCCATTATATTGATGTAGAACCAGTTGTTGACATGTTTTTTGTAACGTCAAAAGTCCAAACGAGCATGCTGATACATTTTTTGAGAAAGTTTGAATGAATTCGTTTTGATTCCCCAACTATGCTTATGATATTTTTTTTTATTGTCAAATTTCATTTCCGAAATCATTTTTTCCAACTGATTCGAATTTTTCTAATTTTTTGTATTTAATAATTTTTAGTAATTTGGTTTTACCTCCTATATTTCCTAACTTTGAGAGACAATGCTATTTTAGGCTTCTTGTTAGCTTTCATTATATATACATATACGGCATAGAGTCAAATAATCATTGATTAATAAAAATTTTAGAGTTCTCTTTGCTTAGGTTTGATCATTATATATCTTCAAACAATTTTTTGTATTTTAGGACATTTTGAATGAATTCGTTTTGACTCGCTAGCTATGCTCATGATGTTTGTTTGTTTTTTTTTTTTTTTCGGTCAAATTTCATCTTTTTCCAACGGATTTGAATTTTGTCAAATTTTTTGTATTTAATGATTTTTAGTAATTTGATTTGACCTCCAATTTTTCTTAACTTTTATAGACAATGCAATTTGGGGCTTCTTATTAGCTTTCTAGCTTTGGATATATTTCCATTATGCAGTACGTACATGTACGGCTGAGGGTCAAATAATCATTGATTAATAAAAAAATTTAGAGTTCTCTTTGCTTATAATGTATGAATTCAAAATTGTTTATTGTCATTCAAAACAATGTAACTTTCGCTTCATCAACATCCATTTTATTCTTGTACAAATTGATTTATCACCGAATTTTGCATCATCATTATGAAGATACCGTAATCATGCCTATGAATAAACATACGACTTTTACATTGATATACGTATGTATCCTTAGAGTATACGTATGTATATATCTATATAGCTCCTTAGTAAGTTACTATAGGTACAGTGCAGGCAGAGTATTCTCGTATAATTTCACTGCATCATGTCAGGTTTACTAAGGTAAATATCCCATTTATGTTTGTAAAATGCAGGTTGGAATGGTTGGTTCTAAGATGCTGCAGTTGTAACACTTGGTCTGTGAATCTTCCATCCAATCCCATAAAGAAGCAGACAATTACTGACAGCCAAAACTTCTTATAAAATGGTCACATGTTTTGGGTCATTGACTCACAACACTATACTAATACATCACACACGCCATCAATTCATAAACTATTTCCATCATTTATTTTTTGTGTTGATTGTAAATCAATTAACGTGATTAATTGCCTTGTACGATAATCAATTGCTGTAACTCAGAATTTTTCTTTCAGATTCAAGTTTCACTTTTCTCTATGTCAACTACGGACACTTATACAAAGAGTTGTATTATGTCATGTTAGTGTTAAAACAAATACTCGTCGGATACTCTTCGAACACGAATCAGATATTACATATATGTGTTTATAAATAAAAATAATTTTTTTATTTATTATTTTGGACATTTTTTCGATATTTTTGAACACTTCTTAAGTATTCAGACTTACACTTTTAAACATTTCTAATACAAGTCTATCCAATAATCTTAAAAATAATATAAACACGTTCTAAAATGTTTAACTTTTTTTTTAAAAAAAAATTGACATCATACACATGATCAGAAGCAAATTTTGAAATGATATTTATTCATTTAAAATAAAAACTCTACACGGTATAAAATGTCATTACAACTCTTTATTTAAAATTAGAAATAAATTAAAATTTTATAATACTATTATTCAATACATATATATTAATATAACCGTGTCCAAGTTATATCCGTATTATACTTTCTAAAAATTTGAACATATCCGTATCGTGTCGTATTCGTATCCCGTAAACCGTACATTTGTATAAATTCCACAACTATATAGATCTTTACACATTTAGGACAACTTGAAAGACCATTGTGACTTCTAATCCATTATCAACTTATGATACAAATCATGATATCTATAATGAATGTGTAAACATTACATCGTTTAATTCCAAAAAAAAAAAAATTTGGGGTAAATAATACATTGGCTGCACGAAATTGCCTAGGAACATCTGAAAAAGCTGATGAACATTAATATATTGGATTTGCTAAAAATGAGTTTGTTTCTAGGAAAATGTTTGTAGTGCCAAAGCGGTCCAATCAGACAAGGCACAAACATGGAATCCATCAAAGTGTTTGGTCTGATTCGGATGGACTAAGTAAAATGTGGGACTCATCCAACTGTTTCGTCTGATTCGGCCCAAGCAACACGATGTTGGTTTGCTGTAATGAAAGGGCAAACAGAAGAGATGGAAGATGTATTAATAATATAATTAGGAGGAAAATGAAGGAACTGTTTCCTTTTTTTATTGTTTCTATGCAAAATTGCAAACACTACAAAACACACACTAACAGCTCCTACAAGGCGTTGATTGATCATGACTTTTGTTGAATATCTAAATATTATTTTTTATTATTACATTACTAAGTAAGGAATTATCAAAGGTTAATATGCCAACCAAATTTGAATACTATTTGATAAAATTTACCAGTCGGAAATTAGATATAAAGAGATTTAGGAACCCTAATTACAAACTTAGAGTTCACTTTTTGCAAAAATACAGTAAATAAAATAATTACAGAGGTTGTGAAAAATGTCACTTATTGATGATGTTCACAAACAAAATTATTCTCCATGTAATGTAATATAATAGTTTCGAAAGTTACATATTAATATACAATGATACTTACATTTTGAATATTAAAAATAGAAGGAATGAAAGTAATAATTTTTTTTTTTTTTTTAATAATTCTTCAGAAACAAAGAATTGCATGTGTTCACTAATGAATTATAGGTTGGTCTTACTGCATCAAAACAGAAATATATATCTATACAGTAACTAATATATATCTATATCTATGTCTATACTTATTATTAAATGTGCAAAGAGTTTCCGTGTTTCAGTATTTCAGTATTTATTTATTTATATAATAAAATATTTATTAATTGATATAAAAATAGTTTCAGTATTTATTTATTTATATATATAAAAATATTTATTAATTGATATAAAAATAGTTTCTATAAAACTCTAAAAAGTACCTAATAAAATCAATCATAATAAAATATTTATTAATTGATATAAAAAATTTGTTATTTTTAATGGATAATTATCACAATATAATCGGCCTAGCCCTGATTGTGTCATTATCAAAAGATGACACATGTCATCATCCTATTAATTAAAGAAGCTTATAAATAGAGATAAGGACAAAGGAGGAAGGAGTACAGAAATTGAGAATTTTAGAAATAAAAAATTATAGAGTAAAATACATAAACATTGATATAAAAGAGTTTTTATCTACACACTATTATTAAATATGCAGAGAGTTTCATTATTTGAGTATTTTTTTATTTATATAAAAAATATTTATTAATTGATTTATATAAAAAATATTTTCTATAAAACTCTAACACAAATTACCTATTTTATTTATTTATTTATTATAATTTTTTTTAATAAAATAAAATATAATTAAACAATAATATATTTAAAGAAAATAAAAAATTTCCATAAGATGTAACATAAATTAGCTGTTTTATTTTTTATAAAACTCTATCACATTATATATTTATTATGAGCTTTTTAATAAAATAAAATCTAATTAGACAAGAATATATTTTTTCAAAATAAAATAATTTATATAAAAAACTCTACCACAAAATAAAATAATTTCCCCCCTAAATTCGAACAAGAAGGCCGAGGAATATTTTATTTTCTATAAAATCTATCACATATAACCTTTATTTATCTATTTATTATGAATATTTTTACATAAATTAAAATAATTTATATAAAACTCTAACACAAATTATTTATTTTATTTTATTTAAAACTCTATCACATATAACATGTATTTATCTATTTATTATAAGTTTTTTTTAATAAAAGGAACTCTAATTAGACAATGAAATATTTAAAGAAAATAAAATAATTTTTTTTTAAGAGTTTATATAAAACTCTAGCACAAATTATCTATTTATCTATTTTTTATGCGTTTTTTAATAAAAGAAAATATAACTAGACAAGAATTATTAATATAAAAAATATTTAATAATTGATATAAAAAATAAAATAAATTTTTCTAAAACTCTTTCACAAATTACCTTTTATTATTAGTTTTTTAATAAAATAAAATCTAATTAGACATGGATATATATATTTAAAGAAAATAAATAATTTATATAAAATTATATCACAAATTACCTATTTTATTTTCAATGAAACTCTATCACATTAGACAAGAATATATTTAAAGAGTTTCTATAAAACTGTAACGCAAATTACCTAAATTTTACTAAAAATTAACTATTTTATTTTCTTTAAAACTCTATCACATATAATCTGTATTTATCTATTTATTACAAGTTTATTAATAAATGGAAATCTAATCATACAAGAATATATTTAAAGAAAATAAAATAATTTCTAGAAAACTCTACCACAAATTACCTATTTTATTTTATTTAAAACTGTATCACATTAGACAAGGATATATTTAAAGAAAATATATAATAATATATTAATACATATAAATACAATATAAAAGTGTAAAATTTTCGTATTAATATAAAACCTAAAAGAATTTATTAATTTACAAAACTCAAACTCTACCACCAATTTCAAAATATTTCAGTATTTATTTATTATTATAAAAAATATTTATTAATTATATAAAAATGTCACAAAAAATTGTAATTTTTTGCAAGTTTTATTGTTATAATCTTCAAATAAATAATTACAAAAAAAAAAAAAAAAAATAAAAATTCTATAAATTACAAAACATTCACCACGTGCATTGCACGTGTTTTTTCCTAATATATATACATATATATATAGTATGTATGTATGTATGTATGTATATTCTCGTGCCTTTTTATTACCAAATTTTTATTCCCATGTCTGTATAATTATTTTTCTCTCTATTTATGTGAAAAGTGGGCAATACCTTCTAATGAATTTAAGGGAACCCCTAATTTCATTGATTTACAAGTTTCCAATAAGATATTGGTGGGCCCCACTGATTGACTAATTAATTTGGTTATGATGGGATCCTGATCCTAAATTATTTTTTTCCGGTGGGTTCGAAGTCCAGGTCTTACCTGGTCTCATTGCTCTCTATTTCTCTCTCCAGACTCCGTCTCTCTCTCTCCACATACATAGAGCTTTCATTGTCATCGATCACAAACCCTAGAAATCAAGCCCACCTGAAAGTTTCACTCTGCTATCGGATCATCTATGTCGCAATGTGAGTACCGTTTGAATGTCACGAAGATCTGTTGAAATTCAGGTCAATTTCTCGATTCGTTTTCACAATTCACTTTCATGTCTTCATTTTAATTCCAAGTTTCTATGTTTCTGATTCTGGATTCTCAAATTATGCTGTATGCAGAAGTTTGAGACTCTGCTTGATTGTTGATTATTCAATATTGTTATTGAATGCAATGAATTATACCTTATAGGGAATTGAAGTGCTTGAGATATACACTAGTGTAAAATTCTTTATCACAATTGCTTTACTGTTAATGATATGCTTCCAATTAGATGTTCATTTCCTTTTGTTGAGCAATAATTTATTTTTCATAATCGGTGGATGTGAATGATATTTTCAAATGTACGTTTTTTAGGAGATATGGACACCCTTTACCTGCCTTTGCTTTCAAATTTACACTAATTATCTAAAACGACTTTGGGGTCTCATTCTTATACTTATTCAAGCATGCAATTGAAAGCCAGAGCTGTCTAGGTTCATCTTCCGATTTTCGTAGCTAGTCATCTCAGGGTTAATAATTATTTTCAGGCATCATTGGATCTAATTATTATTATTATTTCCCAAGAGAATCTAATTAATTTAATCTCAATAGGACACTCTTCTCCTTTCAGCATTATAAAGACATGTATGTGAATATTTATGTTGTATGTGCGCATGCCCGTTCAGACATTTGTGTATATATGTATATATATATATATATATTAGGGCAAGATAGTGAAAGGTTGGATTCCTAGGTAGCTAGTTCAGCACCGAAATATTTTTCCTAATAGAAAACTGGATGCATTCTATATAGTCTCAATGTGCTTAAGTTTTTGGGAAGGCAAATTTGAATCTTACAAGCGATTAGAGATTGTTGCCTGTTGGGGTAGCTATTTATATTTGTGGAGTTCTATCTGGCTATCTGACTTATGCTGCTATGCAAGCAAAATAGCAGAGTCTGAACATAATATTTAAATGTTTGAGCATGAATACAAGTTTATGGTATTTGCTCGCTTTATTAGTATCATTTGGAGGTACATACAATGGGTTGGATTGGGGGGCTCATTTGGGAGCATCCATGACTTCCAAGTTATACTAATGAATCTGTAAACTGCAAATTTTCAACATTGCTTATTGAGTTACTCTTTGATTATCTTATTCTTTCATTTATTGCTTATTCAATTTGATTTGATCTTTGCGTTAGGGCTGAAATTTTGGTGAATCATACTCTTTTGTGTTTATTAATTTTTATTTTGTTCTATTTAAATTTATACATTTGTTAATTAAATTAATTCTCCTTCTGCTTAATGGCTGGAAAATTCTCTATTCGAAGAGATATGAACAGTGCCATTTGGTTAACTGTGTTATGTTTACTTGATATGTGTTCTAAGACATGTTTGAGGATGATACAAGGCATCCAAGACAATTATTTGGGTCTAAGTGTTTAAATGCAAGAATTTAGAACTTTATTTACAGATACATGTAACAATTTTGAGAGCACCTTGAAAGGGCTATCACTTAATATACATCTTTGTCATATTTGGTTGTATTGTTTACGCAATTATTATTGATCTGAGCAGTATGCAACAATTTTGCCTTCTGCCGAACCTAGATGCTGAATGTCAGTTCTCTTTCCCGATTGGTGTAACTTTCCTCCACTTTGCAGGATGCTTAGTTTCTGTTGAAATGGTCAGTGGGAATAATTACTTCGGCAATGCTTTTTGCAGTTCAATCCTAATTCGACATTTTTCGCAATGCAATTAGTATCAAATGGTAGTCAGACGGAAGATAGTTCAGAAACTGAACCCATCTTATGTCAGTCTAACATTGTGCAAAGACCGGACGATTCTTCCTCTTCATATGAGATAAGAACTGTGGGTGGGGATTGCTGTATAACTGCTGATGATTCACTAAATCTTGATGTTGATGAAAATTCCAATTTGGTGAATGGAGATCATCCACAATGCCGTATATGCCTTGACGCTGAAGGTCTCTACTTTCTGTCAAACTCAAATACATTTCCATTTGTAGTCTTCTTAAAACTAGTTGTGGTGACACTCATAAAAAAAAAAAAAAAAAAAAAAAAACTAATTGTGGTGATGCAACTTGTTTGTTTGACAAACAAATATATTTGGACAAAGTTGATGCAACTCTTGATGATATATGTAACCATGAATAAGCATTCCTTCCATCTAGTTCCATTGAGGCCGTTGTTTATTAATTCTCAGGAGAAGACTTGATAGCTCCGTGCCACTGCAAAGGCACCCAGAAGTATGTCCATAGATCATGCCTTGATAATTGGAGGTCAACTAAGGTAATTCCCCCCCCTCCCCCTTTTTCTATATTTCTCATGCCTGGTGCTTGATCAGCAGATTGGCGTTTAGTAACGGTATTTTTGGAAATATCAGATTTCAGAAGATGAAGTTAATCTATCTACTTATTTCATTCCCATTGTGTTGGTTAACAACATTCATATGATTGTATTGAGTCTACTGATTTTAAAACCAAAAACTCATGTTTATGCTCTCAAGGACTTTTACCTATTATCTACGTCTTTCTTATTGCAGGAAGGCTTTGCTTTTGCTCACTGTACAGAGTGCAGGGCTGTGTTCATACTACGTGCAAATGTCCCACCTGATCGCTGGTGGTTAAGACTAAAATTTCAGTTCCTTGTTGCGAGGGACCACGCCTTCATTTTTGTTATTGTTCAGCTGGTACAACAATCAACTTTTTCACACAAACTTATCATTTAGGTACTCTGTTTAGATCAATGCCATAATAACTGAGCAGGACATTGAGTGAGAAAGTTGTAATAAGGTCCATTGCCTTTGTCTCTTAATCCATATCAGAGTGGGCAATTGAATCAGAATGTTGAGTTGTCCATTGTATTTATCTTACATTCCGAAGCCACACACTCCCTCAGCAGAGCCAATCATTGGTATTGGTTTTTGTTTTAATTATTATTATTGTTAGAAGCATTAGCTAATCCATTAGTTTAATCATTAATGAGTCTTTAAGTGCTACAAGTATTATGACCTTAAGACATGAAATGTGGACAACAATGCCTATGCACAATACCCTTATTTGCCACTCTTCTTATCTTCTCCTATATACTTGTGTGTATATATTGATAGTTGTAATTGGTTAAACTGTTTTGTATCAGTTTATGTGCTTTTATTTTTTACATGATTTAGTATTTTGATTGAATAGGACTAGATAGTTTCTGCTTCCAGTCAACGTGGTCAGGCTATTGGTACAGTTTGGTTTTCATAACATTGGTTAGATCATAGATGTCAACAAGATTAGATTTTTTTGTTTGGGAAAGTCAGTTCTATTAGCTTGACTTATAGTATTTATTCTCCATTGTCAATAAAATGGTGTGTAGTTGATGCATGGAGAATGTGGTGATTCTATATCATTAAGTTATTAGAAGTTAAATTACTATCCAATTGAACTATGGGCTATAGCAAAACCAGAGGTAGTGCAAAACTAGACTATGCTAATTCGAAGGGCCCAGGTTCATGTGTTAAAACAAAAAATAAATATATGACCAACTGGAACAATAAAGAAATGAATTAGGTTCTCATTAACAATTATCGATGATTAACAAAAATAAATAACTTAAACAAGGGACATTTATTGTAAGTTTTTTTGTTAAGTAAGAGAGATTTATTTAGTGTAAAAGATTTAAAATCCTCAAGTGGCATATAAGAATAGCTTCTGAAAGAAATATGGTAGTTAGTGCGACTTTAGAGGGCTAAAAATTTAATCAACGGTAAAAGATATACAATCCATAAGTGGGATATAAGAATATCTTTTGAAAGAAATATGGTAGTTTATGCAACTGTAGAGGGCTAAAAATTCAATCAACAGAATGCAATGAAAGGTGTTTGATATTTATTGTAAGTTTTTTTTTTTTCCTTATTTGGCACTTTTTGCCCAAGTATAGCAACTTAACATTCTGTCATGGAGTGATTTAAGGGCTTAAATCACTCGTATAATTATTCTCCAACAAAAGGTAAAAAAAAAAAAAAAAAAAAATTTATGATGTTGAACAGGTTTTAGCCTGTTCATTTAATTGGTTTATTAAATTGGCTTGTGTCTTTACTCATTTTGAAAACTTAACATTTGGAGAAAATTAAGAAAAAATAAAATCTTGAACTCATGGTGGTTAATTTTGAATTAACTTTGATAAAATAAAAAGTTGGCATCTAGTTGTTGCATGGAGAATGTGGAAATTCTATATCATTAAGTTCTTACTCAATTTGAACTTTGGAATTCCCTATTTGTGTCTTTCAGTCTTGAAAATGACATTTTTTTTAGCAAATCATGGGAATTTAGGGGATACATTTATTTGTTGGGTTTGATGTGGGCATTTTCTGTTATTAAAGTTAAAAGTGCTTATGGCCTCTCTTCTTTTTTATTTTATATTTTATTTTATTATTATTATTATTTTTCTCTTCTCTCCCTTTTTAGTTGATCGGTAATTATTAGATAACTAAAATTATAGCTTCTTCCATAGCATTTACAGTTTGAAGGCTGCTTTTAAACCCCCTACTCAAATAATGCTGTGCTTTCAAGACTACAACAACAAAAACAACGAACAAGCCTTTTTCCCAACTACTTGGGGTTGGTTACATGAATCCCGTGTTTCCATTCTACTCTATTTAGGGTCATAGCCTCAGTTAATCCACATGCTATCACATCCTTCCTTACTCTATCCACGTTAACTTTGGTTTTCCTCTCCCCACTAGTATTACTCTCAATGTGGACTGTGTCACTTTTCCTAACTGGCGCACTTAAAGGTCTTATTTGTGCTGTGTTTTCAAGACAGTGCAGTCAAAAAGTACTTGCCTTTTGCCTAGTTAACTGACATACAACTTTTCTCTGAAGGGTAATTAGATGACTAATTTACTAAACTTACCCCCAGGGGATTTGTAAAAACTGACCCTTTGGCCTTGGAACCAGAATGTTTCCAAAGTTAGACATTGGTGTTTTTAATAGTTATTTATTTATTTGTTTGGAGAGGAAGCGTGTAAAATAGGCTTCAGCCTGTCAGTGATAGTTTTTTTTTTTTTTCGTTTCTTGAGTCATATCATTCAGTTATTACTGGTTTATTCGGGCCAAGCTGCTTTGGTACTTTTAAGGTTATAACTTATAATTACTCTGATAAATGAGTCAATTGATATCTTTAGAAGGTAGCTCCTTATGCATAAATTTTTAATATTATTTTAAGTGGCATAAGTTATCTGATGCATAAAACCTTTCATTTGTGTAAATTTATTTTATTTTCTTGGGTAAAATATAATTTATTAATTCCTGTGCGTTTCATGCATATTGTTGATTCAATAATTATGTGCTATTTACTGTTGTGGAAATTTGAACATTTGTTCGTTGTCACTCAAAAACCCAATTGATACAAAAAAATTCAGTTCTGTTAGATAATTGCCTCTTACGTTTCTATCCCAACCATCCCCTTATTGCCTTTTCTCTATGTTTATCATGCCAGTGTCTCATGGATTGACAATCTATAAACGTCTATCATGCATATCACTCTTTCCACATCTAAAACTCGCCACAGAATATCGATATGACCGGATAATGTGCTTCTTCTTTCCCTTTGTTATATAAGAGAAGCTACTTGTACAATTAACTTCTTCTCTTCTTTTTACTTTACTTCTTTTTTGTGCTTATAAAATCTTTAATGAACCCTTTCAACAGATTGTAGCATTTCTAGGCATTCTGGTATACAAATTTTATGGAGATGAACTAAGGGAAATGTTTGGGTATGAAGAACATCCATATGGGTTTTATACAATGGCTGGTAAGTCGCTCTTTGCAATAGACATAAATGATCTATTTCTATACTCTCTTTATTTTTTATTTTTCATGCAGATGTACAACAGCACCTCACATTTGTGAAAACCTATTCAAAATGTTAGATTTTACGTCACTGATGCAACATTCCTTAGCTTTGTGTCTTTGCGTCGCAATATATCTTTGTCATTTTTATGATCACATAGAATTCATCTTTTTATTTATCCATTCTTTTCTCTTCTGTTTCTGGCTTAGCTGACCAAATGGCTTACAAATTCATTTGGTTAGATATCAGATTAGGTTACTCTGATCAAAATATAATTTTTACATTGTTTGATGACAGAATTTGAAAGAAGGGACATAAAATGCGAGTGAAAAAAAGGTTGATTTTAATATACAAGAAATGATTGTCATGTGCAGTTTTAGAAGAAAGCAAAGAAGAGAATGAAGAAACAGAGAAGTCAATGAACTTCTGAGGAGTGTTTTACTTCAATTAACTCTAGTTTAATTCGATTAGCTCAAGCATATATTCCCATACTTAAATGAATATTTGCCGGACACAATGGTGATTATTGTTTGCACGAGTGCTGCTCAAGTTCTTGATGTGTACCACATGCCCAAATTACTTAATATGCAATAGAGTAAAATGATGACAGTTCCTTAACAAGTTTTGTCGTCACAAACAGATTTTTGTCTAAACCTGGGCTTTTACTTTTATTTTGTTCTATCCTTTTCTGTTTCGTACTTTTGTAAATTTATCTTTTAGGGAGGGTGAGGGTGGGGATGGGGGTGGCAAGGCTGAGGTGCCCATCTAGCATATACCTTTCTGTTTTACTCATAAATATCATGCAAAGTTCCTTGGCAATTGGGATCCTAATCCTCTTGGGTGCAAACAATTCCTTGAGGGTGGGTGGGGGTGTGTGTGTACCAATTAGGAAAAAAAAATATGGGGCTCCTAATCCTATATCCAACTATTCAAGAGGGCTTCACATGACCTTACAAGCATCATAAGCCAATGCTCCAGACTTGGCCTTCAAACTCGATCATGTTGCCACCATTGCTTCTGTAAGCAATCTAACAAGGTTGCAACCAACAAAAGTGGAGTTTCTGTGTGGAACACAACTGGCTTTAAGTAAATGCCTCATCGTTGCATAATTGTAAATTTCATATAAAATCTGTTTTCCCCGGACAAGACTTTTTGAAGCAAAAATCTGTATGTAGCTTTGGTATGACACCATGACTAGCAGTAGTTGAATCCTTATACTTGCTTGTCACAGTCACTGTATGGATCATTTTAGGCGTGGTCGGCGATAATTAAATCAACCACCCAACTAATCCCTGGTACCTCATGGATCTGTAAGGAGTCTTGCTCACATTACTTAGTCATTGACTGATTCAGCTCTTAGAATATCTGCTAGTTTACGCCCTAACATTCCAGTATCTTATAGCAAAACTGAAACGTACTCTAGAAACTCTCCTAGTTCATCAAGAACTGCCAATGCCTATAAGTAGTTGAGATGCCCTATATCTTTATATTCAAAAGTTCTACCAATACGTCTTCAGTGGGGAATTCTTTTAAAATTCAGTTTTTTGCAAAATATTAGAAACATATGCAACCAACACATCCACTGGTTTTTTTTCTCCCTGAGGAAAATTTTAATGGACCTATGAATGGGGATATTCTCAAAACTCACAAATAAAAAAGGAGTGAGTGAGACAAAAAGAAAAGCAACTTGGACAAAAAAAGAAGTGGCTTGAACAAAAAGAAACGAAGTGGGTTAGTTTTAATAGATACTTCTAAGGAAGCCTTAACAGCAAAACTAGAAAATGGATAAATACATTAGAGGCAAGAGGCTAAAAAATTAGTAAAACTAAGACAGGATATATGGAATGTAAATTTGATAAAGTGGCAAACAATGATAATATAAATATTACAACTCAAGACCGAAGAGTTACTCAAAATAGCTTTTTTTTTCGTAGCTTTTATCCTTTCCCTGTGAGAAGCATGAACCTATGATTTATTCAACTTATATGATTGAAGTACAAACAATTTAATAGATTTGCTTCTTAAGATAAAATAGAATAATTTTGGAACATGAATTTGAAATATCTCAAACTATATCATAACTGATTATCTTATCTCATTTTTTGGGAGTGAGTTTTTATTAATGATCTAAAAATGCAGAGTATGATTATTTTCGGTTTGTTTTTATTTTATTTGGTATTTTTATATTATATATTTGAGATTGATCAAATTTTTTTAGGTAGAGACCTGTCAATATTCTTAGTAACTTAATAAGCTTTCATTGTCTACTTATCATGTCATTCCCAACAACGTATAATTAATTAACAAAATTCTTTTAAACACTTTCAGGTCTAATTAGCATTTATGTCTGATAAAAAAATGTAAATTGTCAAAACAACAAAAAAAGGAAGGGAGAATACAGGAACAGTGGTTTCTTTGTCAATCTATATAATAGAATAGACAAAAAAAAAAAAAAAAAAAAAAATTTGGAAAGTTGTATACATTAGTCCAAATGAAGCATCAATTGCCAAAATTGATTCTAAATTTACTGTCTACACAAACATGTCACATTACACATTTGAAGGACAAATACATGCATGTCAACAGACATTTAGAGTGCTAGTACCTCTTGAATCTTGAGAGGACCTGCTGGAGTCATTACTTTGAGACTTATTTGAGAATCAGCTACAAATTTGGCTTGGAGCTAATGATAGCAATTAGTGATACTTTCTTGGTCTTGACTCAATCCTTTAGAGAATTGGTTTGTGGCAGTGTTGTAAATTTCTCTTTGTAACCTGATATTTTTCTGCCATGACTGTCAGCCTTTCCACATTGTGCTTAAAGTACATCTTGAAGACTGTATTCTCAGTAGTTATTTGCTGTTGTTGGAGAATATTGTTAAATTAGTTCCTTCTTATTGCGAACTCTACTTAAATTTAACTGCATCTCCCATATTCCTTTTTAACATGGCAGTTCTAGCGATTGTTTTAGTCGGTTTGCTCTATGGGTTCTTTATGGCAATAATCTGTGGACAGAGGATCAACGAACGACACTACCATGTTCTTGCCAAACAAGAACTGACAAAGGTTTAGTATTTTATCCTCATATGTAGATATCTGTTGTAGCATTCTTTGTGGAACAACAGGAAATACACGTGTGAATCCATGATGGCTCGGTTGCTTTATATATTTATTATTATTATTATGCTATTTTGTCTGTCCCTTGTCTGTGGTGATTCAGCAATCCCAAAGTTTCTTTTTGATATGTTAAAATAAAATAAGGAAAAAATAACCACTTTTTAGATAGTGGAACTATAATTTTAAATCAGATTGGAATTCTTACTACTTTAAAGCAACATGAAATGTATCCTGTTAGGTATTGTTGAAATTTTACCAACGGGCCAGTGGCCTAGCTGTATTAGCCTCTTACCTCCCAAGGGAGGTCAGGGATTCAAGTCTCAGAAGAGACGTGTGTGTGAGTACCAATTAGGAAAAAAAAAAAATTGTTGAAATTTTTGAATTTTTGTTATTGTAGGGTCTTTTATTTTTTCCTTTTCTAAAGGTCTGCAGTTGACATTATCTTTTGTTTAGTTTGCAATATATTGTGTCTAGAGTTGACCAGTGTTAAACTTGATTAGATGGGGAACAGAACATTGATTTATTCGGATCAGTGGATGGGGTATCCTGCATTTTCTTTTTGGTGGCCAAATTGTCGATTTTTCCTTTCTCTGTGTTAGGGATGGGATGTTTTCAGTTCTGGTGTTAGTATGACAAATTGCACTGTAAAATGTCATTGTTACATAATGTACCAATTGTGAAAAAAATTGCAATTTGATAAATTGCACAAAAATCAGATTTATTGCAATAAGGCCATTATCTGAACAATTTTAAATTTAGTATTATTTTTAATATAACCAGAATAGTGACATAATTATATAATTTTTATTTCTCATAACATTTTGTACATGTGCAAGAAATTTTAGAAAATAATATTTCATTTCTGCAATCTCTCTCTCTCTCTGATATTTTATGTGTAGTGCTGATTTTTGACCATTCAGTAAGTGGTAAGTGTGCTTCTTTATAATTTCCTTCTATCTTAAAGTCTAAATAGTTATTTATGTTTCCACAAACTTTAACATTTTTTGCATATTTCTTGTAATCTTTTAAAATACATCATCTTATTTCTAGTGCAATTTTTTTTTTTGGTCCCCCTGGAAATTGTTTGTAGTTCAAACCTTGCCTATCAGTATTTGATGAAATTTGTATGCTCTCGCCTGTCATTCAGAGGCCTATCAGTATTTGAAGGAATATGTTTTGTACTGGCTGGTCACGGGGGGTGTTAGACTTTAGTAGAAGCAACTGGTGATGCATACTTTTTAAATTGGAATGCTTTCTGCTCCTGAAGCCTAGCCAGCAGAGGTCGCCGGGTCTCGTCCGAGTCCCTAGAGACTCGGTTGAGTCTCGTTTGAGTCCTTAGAGACTCAGACAAGTCTGATGTGATTCTAATTCCCACCAATATAGAGTATCGGACTCAGCAAATACGCAGAGACTCTGCCAAGTCTCAAAACCATGGCTTGGTAAGGCCCACTTTGGTACCAATTCATAGAGAACATGGTGAAATTAATGTTAATAATTTTCTCCACTGGCACCAAGCTCTTTTGGCCTTGGGCAAACTGAGTTGAACTTTTTTGTGAGGTACTTGATTATTATACAAGTATGTGGAGAAGAAATGCAGTGAAAAATTCTATGTTTGGTCCTGGTGGAAAGTGAAGAATGTAGCTTGTGGAGTCCCTCATTGGGACATTAAGTACTCAGAGGTGGTTGAAATAAGACAAGGATTATTACTGGCCGTGATACTAAATTTCAGTCCTCTTCTGTGATAGCCCCGGATTTCCGAATGCGGGTTGGCCAGGCCCACGCCCGAATACCCGAGGATATCAAAACAAATTGATAATAAACGAACACAGAGTACAAAAGAATAAAGAAAAATAAATAAAATGCTGACAAGAAACTAAAATGATAATCTAATAATAAACCTCAGAATATATTTCCATTAGTTAATAAACTCTTCTGATACAACTGATCCTCCAAAATACAACTCGGGAATCCATACTGTGTGGACCCCTAGAAAATCCAAACTAAACAAATGACAGCAATAACTGTCTAAATCAGGAAACTGAATCATAAAGGAACTCCTATGTAGCATCGGAAGAATAAAGTAGACTGATCCTCGCACAGCACGAATAACCTTTACTCCTGACGAACACCTGAAAAATAATGGTGGGTCAGGCCCACAAACAAGTTCTACTCTACTACAGTCCAAGCAGAGATCTGATACACGTATACATCCTAGTCAACCCAACAGTAACTAGTAGTCCTTATATATATGTATACACACACACTAAAGGAACCTCACTAGACTATAGGGTTGTCTCAACCTGAATAGTAAGCAACATGCAAAACGTACATATAGTGGGCATGAGTACCTAGACCTACCAGGGTACACAACTACACTATATCTAGCTACACATCCCTGGCGATATACGCGCCCTAACCACTGATCCTGAGACTCAAGCTCATATCATGATACCATACTTATATATATATATATATAATCTAGTAACCATCCTATCCAGTATAAATTAATCCTCCATAAGTCATTCAACTTGTTCAGCTGACCAGACTTGAATATAAGTAGGACTTAATATTTTAGTTAATCCATTTCCTTATATAATAAATTAATCCTCCATAAATCATTCAACTTGTTCAGTTGACCTGACTTGAATATAAGTAGGACTTAACATTTTAGTTAATCCATTCCCTTATATAAAATAGGTAGGACTTAACTGATAAGTTAATCCGTCCTTAGAATGCCACCGACCCATACCGGTGCATTAAACCATACAATTCAACAATTGATGTAACGATTAAGGAAATACATCAAACAATTCAGAAATAATTATGATAATATGATATCAAGTTATCACAAAATAGGAATGACTTATTATTTATTTAAGCTCCCTATATCATATGTCCTACACAAACTGAATCTTATACATGATGATATTTTATTATACCGTCAAATAAGTATTATCCATATCCAATTCATCCTAAACATTTAATCTTAATTGCTAAAACATTTTAAAAGATTAAATCCATTCGTTTGTTTAAAACATTCAAATAGCAAGCATCATTATGATTGAGTCTATTTAAATTTATTTAAACCATAACCTAGTTCCTATTTAATGTTCAGGAATCTTAGGCATGTTTCTACGTTCCATCATTCCACAGATATGAAAAATGCATAATGTAAACATATAAAAATTCACACCGGAAATTAAATCAAAATAAAATCATGCATTTATCAATTCATAACACAAGAACAGATATGAACCAATTTCATAAAACCTATATTCTAATCCAATTAAACATGCATAATTATTTAATTTTATGTGTTTAATAAATCCTGGAATTTCCTAGGCATGTACAGAAACACGATTCAAAGGGAAAGAGATAGAAGAAGAACTTGCCTTAAACTTTCGGATCGAAAGTTAAACTTCTTCTTCCTTGATCTTCTCTCTACAGGGTTTTTTTCTTCCTTCCTTCCTTTTCCTCCTTCCCTCTCTAACTTTCTCTCTATTTCTAGAATATATCACGTGAATATTTCTAGCCCCCTTTTACAACTTATAACTATATATTTATAGGCTAAATAAAATAACCCTAACCCTTTTCCCAATCTAAGTTAACTTAAAAAAAATAAATATTATAATATTAAAAAGGTAAGTAAAATATGTTACGTATATAATTTATGTATATGTTTATTAAATAAATAAATTATACACATTCCATTATTTATTAATGGATTATCCAATAATACTTAAGTTACCATAATATTATAAAGTAACTTAAAACATAACACGTATCAAATCTATGTATATTTTTATTATTTAAATATAAAACATATACATCAGATTAAATATTATTACCCAAGTTATCATAAAAGTAATTAATAAATTACTTTCTTTTTTATATATGTATATAATGTATATCTATATATATACATACACAACTCATGGGTAATAATCCATACACATCCAACCTCCTATCCAAGTAGTCCATGGAACCCAATTGGTTGACCCATTACTACTAACCATAACCATAAAAGAAAAATAAAATAAAATAATAAAAGAAAAGAAAATATTTAATTTACAATTAATCAAAACACCATTTAAGCACATAATCTAATTAAACAATTAACAGACAAATACAAATAATACATAGACACATAATCAAATAATCAAGTAATACCTAATTCAATTAAACACATAAGCAATTAGTCAAATAATCAATTAAATAATTAAAATATAATTAAAACAAATAAATAAATACCGAGACTATCCTTTTAAAATTAGGGTTATTATATCTTCTATGATAATTTTTCAATAGTTCAGTCATAAATAGGTTGATTATCTTCTTTAGCATTGTCCGCGTTGCCCCCTTCGCTTTTTTTATATATGGCTTGACTTGTTTCCTGGGATTCATGCGGCATAGTTTGTGCCTTCAAATGGTATCTATTTATGGTTCAACAATATTTATTGGCACAGTAATGAAATGTAAGGGCCATGTAAGGACCTATTACATACAAGTTTTTCGAGAAGGCTATACATGTCATCCAAAAGGACCTTCACCTTTTACATGATATTTTCATTTGGACATTCATTATACTAAATATGTCAGATTGGTAAAAAATGGTAGTCATCTAAGAAGTGATCATGTCCACATGGGAAATGGTGGGTGAAGTCCTAGGAAGCACGGACACTCCAAAATGGGCGAAGAATCCGTGTCTGACACGTGTCGGACACGGACACGCGTCGGACGCGCCCCGATACGTGTCGGACACGCCAAAAAACGTGTCTGGAATTTTTTTATTTTTTTTAATTTTCGGACACGGCTCGGACACGGCACGGACACGGCTCTGACAGTTCGGACACGGCTCGGACACGGCACGGACACGGCTCTGACAGTTCGGACACGGCTCAGACAGCTCGGACACGGCTCGGACACACTTTTCTGGAATTTTTTTTTTTTTTTTAAATTTTTAATGCTGATATGTTAATTTTTTTTTTTTTTTTTTTAAAATTTTTTTTAATGCTGATATGTTCTATTTTTTGTTTTGTACTACCCTAAAGATGCTGATATATATATATACTAACCTAAAGATGCCACAATTCGCCGTGTCCGTGTCCTAAAGATGCTGATATATATATATATGTTTAGGTTGGAATATATATATATATATATATATATATATATATATATATATATCACTGATATGTATATATATATACACTATTCGCCGTGTCCGTGTCCTAATTTTTTTGGATTTGCCGTGTCGCCGTGTCCGTGTCGTGTCGTATCCGTGTCCCGTATCCGTGTCCGTGCTTCTTAGGTGAAGTCATTTATTTTTCTTAATATGCTAGACTTCAACAATAAACTTAGATGTGGCCTATTAAATTTGAAAATATGTCCAAAGAAGCCCTAAATTTGTCGATTCCTGTGAGATGTCCTAGGAAAAAAAAAAATGCAGACAGGGTTCTACAAATCAAACAAGTGTTGTCTAGATAGAGGGGTAGTTCTTTCCTAGCTCATTGACAATTGGAATGATGAATATTCTGCTTAAAATATGGATCTTATGGATCAGATAATAAAATATCTCATTATCTATATTGAATACTATGGGAGAGAGGTGTCAGATGTCATGTATACGTGGATTTCTCACTCACTCGAGTTGTGGCTTTAAGTGAATTTCTTCTGAAAAAATAATTTATGGCAAAATTTAATTAAATGATTGTGACATTTAGTTTTCGTCAGCATTGACGGCATGGATATATATATATATATAATATTTGGTTAGTAAATCTATAACTCAATTCTTACTGCCTTCAATAACAAGTTCAACTGAAGATTGCACTGAAAATATTATGTTTCTTTGTCTTAGATTTGAGCATCAGATCTTTGTTTTTGGTCCTGTTTTTCAATTTTGCCTTCTCAGTTTTTGCAATAAATACCATTAGTTATCCGGTTTGATGTTAAATCATTAACCCTTAGCTGTAGTAATTGATCCTTAATTTCATAATGTCAGGAGTATGTGGTAGAAGATCGAGAAGCAAATAAGAATGTTCCAGAACTTGACCCCAACCATGTCACAGAGTTAAGAATGTTGGGCCTCTATTAAACTGAAAATTTGTTCCTGTCATCAGATTTTTTTGGTAAGTATCAGCCCTCTCTCTATTTTCTTTTTAAAAATGTCGGTTTGTTTTAATCTCTATTTGTCAATTTATATCATTTTCTCCTTTGTAACATATCTTATCTCTGAAAAAGGCACAATTTCTGAAATATCGATCAATTTCTTTCCTTTTCATTAGTTTGTTCATTTCACTTATTGCTGCATGAGAAAAACTTCAGTCTTTAAATGAACACACCTGTACAAAGAATATGATCACCCCAAAGTGAAGTTGGTTCATGTTTAGGTCTCTATATAGGGTAGGCAATAGGCATGGCTGGAAGAATGAGGATACCAGTGAACGGATGTAAGCTCTTTAGTTTTTGTGTTTAACTTGGATTGACTCTTAATGGTGAATGAACAAGATTGGTGTTAGCAGTCACTTCTATTGGGACAAGGCATTACTTGATAGAAAGGATTTGTTCCCCCTTACGGTTCCAGAAGTCATCTGTCCCGTTGTTTGTTTTTAACCTGAAAATTTATGAGGTACTGAGTAATGAAATGTAAACTAAGGAATCTTGGGTGCTTGCCCAGGCACTTGAATGGGGACTGAGGTACCACAGGAGTTCATTCAAGCACCTCATTCTGAGTCTCGCTAGGCAAATTGTAAAACTGAAATTCTATCTACAACAGATGATGTTTTATTTGTATTAAATGCCTTTACATACACAGTTATATGGTCTACTAAAGCTGATGTCCTGAGCAAACACGTGCGTGTTGGTGATAATTTTGTTCCTTTAGATTCTCTTGTAAACTCCTTTAGTAGCGGCCGGGAAATGAAGTCCTTTACTTTTCATCTTACACATTAGTAATAAAATTTTTTGCACCATTAACTCTTCCAAAATTTGCTTTATTGTTCATCCTTTTTTCAGAGGTATAGAATTTTTCTTGTTTCAAGTTCCTTTGCATAATTGTGAGTGCTTCTTTTCTGCTCTCATTTCTCAACGGACAGTAGTTATATTTTAACCAGACTACCTTCTTGTGCTATTTTTTTGTAATTTATATAGAACTCTTGGGTGCATAATGAGCATATATGTGCTGTATATTTTTGTGACATTGTCACAGCGTCTAAATTTAACTCATAAATTTCCAGGGTCTGTTGTCTTGCGGTAGTGATGTTCAACTGGTGCTTCGAATTTGAGAAACTCAACATGGAAGCTGCCCATTGTTATTTCCCTACCCAATGTTAATTGGGAGTGATTTTTTTTTTTTTTTTTATTTGCCCCTTCTGTCGAACCACATAGTCAACATATATGTGTAGGTATGTATATTTTATAGCCTGGGTTTTTTATGTTTTGTGCTTATTCGTCCAGTTTTATTCAGTTTTGTAGAGATGGATTTTCTCCATTACCGTATGTTGTTACCCTGGAAATTTATTTGTTCATAAAGACAACATGAATGACTTTTCGATTTTGGAACTTTGTATGATCTCCTTTCAATCAGAAATTAAGTTGAAACAGTGCTAACAGATGGGACTGTTGGAGGTTTGAGTTGGCTTTGCCTTCGGTTTTTTTTCTTTTTTTCTTAGTTAGTATTCACACACACACACACACGTGCTTCTACTAAGGCTTGAACCTTTGCCTTCGGTTTTTAGGTTGCATATTTTCATATTATTCTAGCCTTTTTATAAATCAATAAAAATTATATCTAAGGAGAAATATGTGTGTATGTAACACACAAAGGGCCATATTATCAACTGCTAAAGCTTACAAGGGAATGATACTCGTAGCAAAAGCATAAAATCAGTCAAATATTTGTTTACTATATATTTGATAGTAATCTAATAAAAAATTATAGCTAATAAAATGAGATTATTGGATTGAATAACGAGTCATATTACATGTATTTAATGATATACTCTTTTCTTTATATGAACAGTATTTTTTTTTTTTTTGAAAATACAAAATAACATTAACTAAAATTTATTATTTTCTTCACTGCATTGCTGCGCAACTCTAGCGAAACTTGAAACTGCAAATTGGTGACGTAGTGTTGCGTTGCATGTCTAGCGAAACCTACATTAGTCTCATAACATTTGCAAATTGTTAAACATTAAAACTTTTTTTGAGTAAAGAAAAAGATAATTTAAATATTTGTTACTTGATTTGATTGCAATAGATCAAACATGTTTCTACAAATAGCCACCATAACCTAAATATGTGTTATGATTAAATGTTTACCAAGGGCTCAAAATAAGTTAATAGAATTCTTGCTCAATGTAGGTTATTTAAGTCCTATAATTTATTTATTTATTTATTTTTTTTTTGCCCTTGGTTAATAGTCCTATAACACTAGACTGTATTATAGAATTCTCCCTCCATAATAATACAAATTTACAAAACAAGACCAGGAAAAAATAATATTTAATATTTCCAAACTCATGAAAATTTCATTATTTTTTCAATAATACAACAACACGTGTTTATAATTTTTTATAATATTCTCAAACTATCATTTTGAAAGATAGAGGAGATATCATTAGACCACAAGACTTGGTGTTTTATATACTTAAAATGCTATTTTAAATAAATGAAAGAATTTTAAAAAACATCAATTTTTAGTATAGTAGTAAAAAATATATATGTGAAATTAATTATACAAGAAATTAGATTATTATAATTTATAACAAAAAAAAAAAAATTCATTTAACTTGGGAATTGGAATATAGAGTATCATAACAAAATTGTTCGAAAACATGATGGGAAAATTCATAGTACGAACAATAATTTTGGAAAAAGGCAAGTAAAAAAACGTAATGGTAACAAAATAAAATAAAATAAAATAAAAACAGTAACTTCCCTTAATTTTTTCACTTTGTACTAGAATTAGGAAAAATGAAATAGAACAATAAGCTGAGCTTCACTTTTTATTTTTTTTAATGTCAATTCTATTTTGAATCAGAATAAACACACTTCGTATCCAATTTATGTATTTTTCCTGATTAATTTAATGGTTAAATTATTTATCTAGTACTCGTAAAATGGAACTAGAATTGAATTAAATAATTGGACATGCATTTTTATCTGCTTTTTTACAACTAACTAAATACTACTAGTAATACAGATCAGGGGGGCAAAAGCACAGATAAGAAAAAGCTAGGGTTTTCAATAGACGTCGTAGGTCTGCGTGGTTGACAATGGCGATGAGGACCTTCTACAACGAGATCAAAGGGATGAAGGTGAAGGACCTTCCGGCTCACCTGAAACCGAAGTTGACCGTCGACTACTTGAAGGATTCGATCAAGAGAGGCCTCGATAACTACCATGCCAAGTACATCCAGACCAGTTCCGTTGAACCTCTCTTCCATGTCTGCTACGGTGGCATGATCTTCTCCTACCTTGTCGCTCTTCCCGAGGAGCGTCGTCATCTCGAGCACCAGCAACACGCCAAGGAACACGGCGGCCACTGATTCGTCTGTCTCCGATCTGTTCCTCCAATTCAAGGTGATTGAACTTGTACCCTTCATTTTGTTCATTTCCAATGATTTGTAGAAATTAAAGTAAATCACACACACACACACACACACACATATATGGTTTGAGGGAAATTGATCTATATTGAATAATAATTTTCATGCATTTAGAAATTATTGTTTCCGGAACGAGGACCAGCGTGACCTAAATTTGAAGTTTTATGTTTTATGTTGTTTAGTGGGCTGCAAATAATTATATTTTATGTAAAAGTATATTATAGGTTCATGCCTACAGTGTTTCTTGAGCTACTGAACCTAGCATTGATAAATTATTTCCCGAGACACATTTTATTTGAGTTAATTCAAATTGCCAGCAATATTTTAACAGCATGGATGATGAATTTGGTATTGTATCATCGCATTGGGATTATAACTTTGAAGCATTATGACTTTTGAAGCATTGTAGTAGTTATGTAAAATGGTGACCATATAGGCAAAGAGCAATGGAATTTTCATTTTGAATATTAGTGTTATTGCCTAGGTTTTGTTGGTTAGTACATTGTTTGATACATGAGCTATCAGCACCCTGAATCTTGGATCCTTTGTTTTTTTGTCCCTTTGCTCACTGTCAATTTAGTCGCCTGACTTGTCTTGGTTATTGCTCTGTTTTGTTTTGAATTTGAGCTGGAAGTTCGGTATGTTATTCATTTGTGAATTTTGTTCATTTAATGATTTGACCTTCACTAAAAATGGCCATTATCCTGCGCTTATCACGAGAGGGGAAAACTGGAAATAAACTTACCATTTGGCATTTTTTTTTGCAAGCATCTTCAGGCATATTAGCCTGGTTTTTTTTTTAGCTTTTGACTGAATTGTATTATTGATGGAAATGGAAGGTTGAGGACATTGAGATGATTGTGTTGGAGTTTCATTTTGGGACACATGGGATATTATTCTGTTGCTGCAACTAGAACTGTTCAGTTGAATGGCGCTTTAATCATCATAAATGAGATTAGTGATATTTTCTTTGTCAAAGGATGCCCATTTTTCCATTTTCATATCTCTGCGTGGCATGGGAGCTTATTTTTTGTCAAGATAGGCCTTCTTGATTTAGGAAGTTGAAATTTTACCTCCAGAGTGGAATATATTTGTCCCTAGTGACAGTTTGAAAGTTGCTGGGTTTGCATTTGTTAAAATGGTCGAAAAGGGTGTCAGATTAGGGGTTGGTAAAGTGGAGCAGATGTGACCCGAGTGCCCAACGAGCAACCTGTGCGGGCAATATTTTAGTTGGCTTGCTTATACTGTTGGTGAATAGTTATTTTTGTTGTTTACTTTTAACACTCACTTTACAAAGGAAAACTATTGGAAAATTATATTGATCCGTGGGAGACAAAACGAAAGGTTCCCCACCTGGTAGTGGCTCAACGTTGCACATTTGCTTAGCCTAGCCTACTAATTCATCAAACAAAAAAGGCCAATAAAAGGCTAGGAAATATCATTACCAAATATAGCTTGGAAGACAATAGAACTTTTTAATCGTGAATTGCAACTTGCTGTTCATTTTGGATATTCTTCAAGTTTTTTTATTTTATTTGTAAATGATAATATATTTTGATAAATTTTATTTGTAAATAATAGTAAAGAATTAAGACACTATTGCCTTTGGTGTTTAAGGCTTTCTCTCTCCATTGTGGAAGGGCAGGGGGAATTTTCCCTTGTTTCTTTTAGAGTAATGTAATTTTTTTTATGATTCCTAGCCTCCTTGTAGCTTCTTATTTGAGGAAGAGAACATTGACAACTGATAAATGAGATTGTCAAGTGTCCAACCAACAGTCTTTTTCTTCTCTCTTTAATTCATAACAAATAATATATTTGTGTATATATAAATAAAGTACCAATATGTTATATATAATAACGGTTAACACTTTTTTTTTGTTTCACTAGATTTGATTTTTTAGAATTAAGATTAAAAATGTTCATTGGACTTTGAAGGGACAACTACTAATTTGTTTTTTCAAACCTCCTTTAATAACCTTTGATAACAAAAAATTAGAGCCATAAATGAAAGTTTTAAAAAATTTGAGGGTGCCAGCTTTTATTTTTCTATACAAAATCACCAGTGATAACAATAAATTAGAACTATTAATAGAGTTTTTAGAAAATTTTGGGGGGCTATGCCTGCCGTCCCCCCTCCCTCCGCCCCTGGTCATGAAGATGGCGTTTGTAGTCCTTTTTTCCCTATGACTGAAGTTTTCAACTTTATGGATTTCAATTTGCCAGCCCATTTAAATAATTCATACATGGAAGCCTAATTTATATGGATGGATTTGCCTTTACAATCTTAAAGAAATTGTGATGCCTAGCAAATGGCATCATGGCATGGTGGTAACTTTGTCTACTATATATTCTACTTCTGGCCTCTGGCATTTCATTAATCTACTATTCTGTATTGTTCAGGTTGTACCCAATGGTATAATGTGACTGTTTAATTTTACACGTCCTTTATGATGTTTAAGCCTGATCCTTCCCTTTGTTGGAGTAAAGTGTCAGAAACAAACTAAAATGTTTTCAAGATGAAGGAAATGCAATAGCTTGAAGTCAAAAGCTACCTTCTGATGTTCAATAGAGTTGACAGGGATCTACTTTTGAAATTCAGTTAAAAGATATTGATGGCACTAGTTTGTTGCTATATCCTCAGAGCAATTTATGACAGTATGCTAAGACACTGCGAGTTAAAAGTTGTTCCTTGTGTTGTATCTTCTGAGCATTAATAATTAAGATTAATTAAATTGGAATTTTTCCTCAAAATAAGCACCACAGAATTTTTCCTAATATTCCTACCAACTTTATTTTGGCCTGCAGAACTTTTTGATCTTGTTAAGGCCACATTTTCCTAGTTCTAGGTAATAAGTTTTACAATATGGGTGTGACAAAAAGAGATTTTTGGATGTTTGATGATAGTAGTTTGTTTTTCCATTAGGGTGAACTTTATGTATACTGGTCCCTTTTCGGTGTGAGAAAAGGAATCATGGGATATTTGATGATAATATTTTGCTTTCACTCCATTAAGGAGAAGTGCAGTCTTGGGTTTCTTTTGGGCATTCATCAATTTGTTTTTAAAATGCTTTAGTTTGTATGTGTTTACTGCGTAAGTATTTAAAAGTTGTTCTTCCTTCCTTCCTGATCAGATATGGCCATATGGGTGCTATTATTCTCTGGTCCTTCCTCCAATTCATATCTCACATCGGATATGGATGGTCATCCTATTGAGTTGAGAGTTGGGACCCCAAGGGCAATGTTGCAATCTTCGGACATTTGCCCTGTCAAAACTAGCTGATTTCAGGTCATCTTTGATACACTTTTAAAAGGGCACAAGAAATAAATTGTCTAAAATTTAAGGTTATTTATTGAGTGGGCATGTACAAGACTGATAAAAATAGTATTATTATTATTATTATTTCTACCAGGTTAGAAGTTCATGCCATTCAGATAGCTAATAGTGGAGGTTCTAGTGTTTATTATATTATCCATTCCTTGTTAACTTTTATTGTGTGTTTTCAAACTATATTCACATCTATGTAGAATATACTGTGTACTCTAGAAAGAAATTTAAAAAGGAAGCAGAAAGCTAAAGTGGTTGATTTCGCTAGTAATGCACGTCTTACCTATGGAATTAAATAAAACTAGTCTCTGGAGTTTAAGAAGTCGTTGAAGGACTTGTGTCCAGAATGTTAATATGTCTCTCATTATGTCTTTGGAGTGATAATGCGGTTGTTATGTGTCTGGTCTGGCAACCCAAGAATCAATGTTTGGACTCCATGAAAGCGATTTTCATTAAGTGTGGGCATGTATCTGAATGGCATAATATAGTAGAAGAGATGGAATCTGGGGTGAGCTGTGAATTACAACAAAATGCATGAATATATGGAAGAGATGGCATAATCATAGGTCAATTTGGACTAGAGCATGAATATATCAGCAGAAGGCATGCAAATCTCATTTGGTGAAAGGATGCCAAAGAGGACAAGGATTGAGGAGTGAGGAATTATCTGGAAAACTGGGCCTTTAATAGAGGTTGTGGTGATAGATTGATATTCTGGAAACAGTAGTAGTGTTTTAATTATTTGAAATAGTTAACTTTGCTAGAAACTGAGACAGCTGTTGCCATAGGAAGTGCATGTATAAAAATCTAGAAAAATGGAAGTACCTTATACAAGCTTGATTTGATGATGGTGTTAGTGATGATTTCACTCTTGGATCTCTCTCTATGTTGCTGTAAATTGTGATCATGCATGTACTTGCACATCTCATCCTAGGATAGCTTTAGTGTATAAATAAATATAGTATTTCTTTTTAAAGATGATCATGTATTCATATATGTGCCATAATTTTATTAGCTTATTCATATACTTGTGAGGACCTTTACCTTTAAAAACACTTTTTGGCCATAGAAAGACTTAAACCGGGCGATACCAAAAGAAAGAACTTTCTACTACTGTTTTTGTTGATATTCTATGAATGAAAAAAATTGAAATATTGCTATGCAAGTTATAGCACCTGTATGATATTAAAGATGATCATGATGATATGCAAGTTGCTGTGTTTCTAATGATTGTGTTTTGGCTTGTAACTGCAGCTTCAGCAAAGTTCATGAGTGGGTTGAATCCTTGAAGGAAGGATTAACGTTGAAGTCTATTTGATTGCTTTTGTTTCAGTTTCTAATGTTATCTATCTGTCGGACACTCAGGTGTAATATGGGGACACCCATGGCTGATTAAATAAATTTGTGAAAACTTCTCTCATAATGTTGACAGTACAAGTCTTGGGCGTTTTTTGTCTCTTTGTTTAAAACGCATACTTTATTTTTAATGCATTAGTTAATTTTAAGTCTGAATTTACATATAAGTTGTATCCAACCAGCCTTGGTACTCACTCTTTCTTGGTTACAGATATTATTCATTAGAGTATGATGTGTTTTGAAATTATTGCATCTTGAGCTGTTAGAAATTGATGTACCTTTCAATGGGTTTGAGATTTGCACAGTTGTTTTGTTCTCTGTTGAAACCAAAATACACACACACACACACACACACACACACACACACACACAAACGTTGTTGAAATGCTATTATTGCTTTGAGATTGATTTTAAGTACAAAAGCGTTATAGAGAATTAAAAGTGCTTGCTAATTTAGGTATTTCATACATGCAGATGTCTAGACTCCTCCCAAAAACTTGATCAAAGCTCTTCTGATGCATCTGGTTCTCTCTCATGAGACAAGCTTTTCTTCACTTTCTTTGCTACTGATTTAGCAGTGCCCTCCACGGTGGCTTTGCTCTTTTCCAAGCTCTTCCCAACAGCCTCTTTCACCTTCTCGCCCATTCCACCACCTTCATTGGCCCCACCCGGATCTCTTCCCCTAAAGCTGAACAACTTACGCATTATCAATTACCCACACACACATATATCTATATGTATGTATGTGTGTGTGTGTTGTGATGAAAGGGAGAGTTCTTATTGGGAAACGAGAGACTTACTCTAAATTTGGAGGAAATAGATAGGTCTGAAGTTGATAGAACAGTGTCGTAGTCTTCTTTCCATAGCTTGAACTTATCCTTTTGACCCTTTGTGAAAGAGAAGTTGTCTTGATCTCATCTTTTTCTTCATTTATGAGTATGGAGGAGAGGAAGATGATGAAGAAGCACATAATCAATATACGTGTTGCTTTAGGTTTATCCATGGCTCTAAAAAGTTTTGAAGATGATTATCATTTATTATTATCAAAATGGTTTTAGAATGAAGATGCTTTGTACAACAACACCGGCAAGTGGTAAGTATATGGTACGGAGGAGAAGTATTTTTTTAGGAGAAGGGTCTTTGTTTGTGGACACGTTTGTGGTTTACGCTAAACGACGAGAGATTATGGTGATGGAACGTGGCTTGGGTATGGTCCCAGTTGGCGTACGCGTTGCAGTTGAAAGGGTGGTACTCTACTACATGTCCAAATTCTTGTTGTCACTTCAATCGGTTTAGTTTAATTTAATTTTTTTTTTTATTTTCTGAAAATTTAAAAGATGATTAATTAATTATAAACTGATAATTTTGCTGTGTACTTGTATATAAAAAATTGTCATTTTCTTATATGAAAATTAGGACATTATAGTTTTTTTACTATTATAGTCAACTTTCATTGTAATTTAGATTTTATCAAACCATCTCTAAGAACTTTTTCATTGGCCCACTTGGGATTTTGATATGATCTTCCTCACTATTTACATATTTAGAGTAGGGGAGGTTTTGATGTCTTTTTAACATTTGAAAGTCAAATTTGATGATTCTAGGCTTGTGTTTGATGGCAAGGAATTGAAGTCTTGGTTAAATTGAAAAAAAAATTTTTGAGTATTTTTTTTTCCAATTTATTAAATTTAATTTCAAATCTCTAATTCAATACCAAACATAGCCTAAGATTTTTTAGAAGCAGAATGAGAGTGTTATTTGTCATCATAAACAAATATATATATATATATATATATATATATATATATATATATATATATTCAAGTAAAAGTGAGATAATAATTTTCAAAATACGAAAAATGAATAACGCCAAGGTTGCAAAAAGATGAAGAATGTTGTTTGGTAGAGATGAAATACTAAGGAAGAGGAAAAGGGGAATGATAAGATGAAGGTGCCTTTCAAACAGATTAAAGAACATGTATCTTCAAGTAAAAATGAGACTACGCTTTTACCAAAATTATGAAAATGAAATTGCACCATGCTTGCAAGAGGACGGTCCATGCTTGTTTGGTAAAGATGAAATGGTAAGGGTGATTGGAAAAGAGAAATTATATATATATATATTTACACACACACACACACACGATATAATATTAGCATAGCGCGAAACACTTACACTTTTACTTCTTTTAGTAGTATTTTTTTAATTAAAAAATCACAATTTAAATTTTTTTGACAAAATAAATGATATACATGACAAAATTAACTTTAAAATCGTGAATTTATTTGGTCCAAAAAACGGACACAGAAAATAGCAAAAGGAAGAGTCCCTTCCACCTAAGTTCATCCAAGTGGCCCTCCCTTTTTGGTACCCTTTTTCAAAGAAATTTTACTCTTTTTATCTGTGGTATTAATCATTCTAACTTCATATTTGTTCAGGAGTAATGCTAAGATGAAGTCACGAGCTTATCAAGGACACATGCATGCATACTTTTATCGAGTATTATTTGAATTATTTTAGATCACAATAATAATAATTTATTATCGAATACATGCATTATCTCATCTCTTATGCACTAAAACGTTATCATTTTTATTTTTATTTTTAAAAGGTGTTCTAATGGTTGGGTGAAATTTGCTGTGGAAGCCACCAATTTCGAAAATGTATCTTTAGAAACCCTTAATGTAAATATTTTTATTTGGTACCGAAGCTAAAATTCAATCCTTCAAGGAATGTATTTATAAATGGTAGTATGTATTTATTAGGGAAGAAAAAAAAAGAATGTATTTATGAAATGAGGACCTATGAAAAGACTTTTTAACCACCAGTACCTTTTTAACAGTTTGACAAGAAAAAACACGTCATTTTAAAACTTATAGAAATGTCAAACAGGGTCTAGACATGGTCCCAAAAAAATATAGAAAAAAGAAGAAGTAGGAATGCAATATTTTCTTTGGAAAATGAAGGATAGAATTGTCATTGAATCAGCCAAAAGAGTAGAAACAGAGCGTGTGCGAGCTATGTGTTTGTTACTTTATTTTTATTTTTTTCTCTCTCTCTCTAAGAACAATTATTATTCTGATATAGATATATATATATGTATATGTATATAATCTTTTCTCTCCCTGTTTGGAGGTTATTGCCGGACGTGACCACACACCACACCAGACGTTGCTGCTTTCTGAAGAGAGAGAGAGAGGAGGAGAGAGTGATGGCGATGGTTTGGCAACACAATCTGAGCACTAATTGAGACCCATATACACGTTCATATACATAACAATAAATACATACGATGTCTCCTATTCTGCTTCAGATTTGAACTCCACTATCTTCTTCTTCTTCTTCCTCCTCTTCCTCTTCCTCAGGTATATCCAAATTCTTCTCTTTTATTACCTTTTCACGACTCACTCACTCACTATGCCAGATCTTCCTCATTTACCTTTTTGTTCAAAATGGTGAAATGGGTATGTTTGGTTTCTCTGATTTGGGTTGTGGAAGTTAATGTTTTTGGATAATACATGTTTGGAAACTGTTTGTTTGGTAACTCTTTATGAAACCCATCAGAGAATTGGACAAACACTGCCAGATGAAAATCTGGGTATTTTTTTTGAAGTTTTGTCGAGGGTCTGAGTGGTTCTGATTTCTGGATTTGGAAGTCTGAATGTGATGAGTTTTTTCTAAGTTTGTTCTGGTGATGATTTTAGGGGGTTTTATTTAGCGATTTACTGTGTACTGGTTCTTGCAGTTGTTAAACAGTTCTGATCTACTCATTTATTTATACATATTTGCATAAGTACGTATATATCTGTATTTTGTGTACTTGGGTGTCTCTTAAGCTTCAAATAGGATGTTAAAATCTGGGTAATATTCCAAGAATCTGTGAATTGTGGGATTCTATCTAATATTACTTGTGTGGATGCTCTGAACATCCTGGTCTTTACAAATTGTGGCAGTCATGCAGTTTTTTCTGATCTATACCTTATTTTCTTTTCTTTTCTCGGGTTCCAAATGGATTGTTGAGTTGGCTTCCTCCCAAGATATATTCTTGATGTTTATTCACTTTGATGTGCCTTCTCCTGAATATATTACTGTCTTTTGTTTTTGTTCTTAATCTCTGTCTTTTTGTGTGTTTGTTTTTTGTTTCAATATGTTAATAGGAGTTAGGAATCAGTTTTCTAATGCTATTGATGAAAGTAGTGATTTCTTCAAGTTTGTTGGTAATCTAAAATTTTATTGTCAACAACTTGTTCTTTAATAGTGCTAAATATTTATCTAAATTTTTAATGAAGTTTTACTTTGCATTATCTATCGTTTTGTTGGATACCACAAACTTGGGACATAATCTACCTTTAGCTGAACTTATGATTGGTTTTTAAGTTACAGACGGGTATGTTTACTCCCTGCTTAACTTCTCAATTTTCATTAAAAAAAATTCTGAATCTGTAAATTTCTTTTTTTTCTCTGGTGGAAATTGGAATTCTGAGATCACATCAATGATAAAATTATTTCCCTCTTCTCTGTCTTTTCTCAGACCCTTCATTAGGTTATGCTTTTCTGAGACATTGCTCTGATCCTTCTTTCTGTGCTTATGAGGATGATTAATAAATCAATCAACTTTTTATTTTTTATTTATTTGTTTTGATGCTTGGTTCTTGGTATAAAAACAATTATCTGAAAATTCTCTTCCCTCAATATTTGTCCTGATCTGTATTTTGTTTCCCTCTTTGAAGGACTCTAAGTTTCACCAGTAATAATTTGCAAGTGGAATTTAGTGCTGTTCTCTTGTCTGGCACATTAAAGAAGCCTAATGGGTTCCAGATTCCCTTCTCATAAGCTTAGCAGTGGCCTCTATGTGTCAGGCCGGCCTGAGCAGCCAAAAGAAAGGGCTCCAACAATGAGCTCAACGGCCATGCCCTACACTGGCGGAGATATTAAGAAGTCGGGAGAGCTTGGGAAAATGTTTGATATCCCTATGGATGGCTCTAAGTCCAGGAAATCTGGACCTTTAACTAATGCTCCTTCAAGGACTGGATCATTTGCAGGCACAGCTTCTCATTCAGGACCAATCATGCCTAATGCTGCAGGTAGGGCTAGCTATTCCACTTCAGGTCCTGTAACATCTGCTGGGATTCCCGGTTCAGCTTCGGTCAAGAAGTCAACTTCTGGACCACTGAATAAACATGGGGAACCTGTAAAGAAATCATCTGGTCCTCAGTCTGGTGGAGTGACACCAAGTGGCCGCCAAAATTCAGGTCCTCTACCACCAGTTCTCCCGGCAACTGGTCTTATTACATCTGGTCCCATCTCTTCTGGCCCACTAAATCCATCTGGGGCACCACGTAAGGTTTCTGGTCCTCTGGATTCAATGGGGTCGGTCAAAATACATGGATCCTCTGTTGCTCACAATCAGGCCGTGACAACTCTTAGCGGGGATGATGATTATTCCTTTAAAAGGAACCTCCCGAAGCCAATCTTGTGGACAATGATTCTGCTTTTTGTGATGGGATTCATTGCTGGTGGTTTCATTCTTGGAGCAGTCCACAATCCCATTCTCCTCGTTGTTGTTGTGGTCTTATTTGGCCTTGTTGCTGCATTATTCACTTGGAATACTCTTTGGGGCAGAAGAGGTATCATAGGCTTCATTGCTCGTTATCCGGATGCTGAGCTTAGAACAGCAAAAGATGGTCAATACGTGAAGGTTTCCGGGGTATGTAACTCTTTTGTTATCAACAAGGCATTTTTCTTTAATCTTTGTCCATAAGTGACGTGTAGTTAAGATAGTAAGGAAACATGATGTTATTACCCTAGATAGAATGGGAGAGTGGAACATTATTCATTTAGGTGGCCCCAAAGAGTAGTTTGAAAAATTGCTTTGTTGAGTCTGTTGACTGCTGTTTATAACCATTTGACTTCCTTACGTTTTGTTTTCTCCTGATGGTAATTCAGTATAAAAAGTACATTTTCGAAATTCAAATTGAAGATTTCATAGAGGAAATATAAGAATATAATCATGTAAAAATTTGTCTTATACCATGATAAAATATGCACAGTTGTACAAATACTGATGAAACCAAAAACTTAAGTTGAACATTCTGCCATGCAATTTTAAAAATTATGATGAAAACAATTTGATATGTCTATCTCATGCTTGTAGACGGGCGGACCCAGAAATATTAATTTTGGGGGGGGTCCGATTCAGTAATGTGAAAATAAAAATTGAAGTTGTATAATGAAAAATTAGTATAAAAAAATATTATATATTAACTGTAGTACTGCATAATAAAAGAAAATATACATTGGGGAGGCCAAAATCAAATATTCTTCCTATTTTGAAAGTTACCATTCATAACACGCCTATAAAATGGGAATTTGTTCAATTTTTGGGGGGCCATGGCCCCCCTTGGTGCCCATAGAGGTCTACCCCATTTGTAGAGGGAGCATTTTTGAAAGAGCGGTGATACACATCATGACAAAATGTGATACGACATTTATGTGTATCACGAAATGTGATACGACACCACTGCATGTCTCTCTCTTCACCCTCTTTCTCTCTGTTTATTTTTTTTGAGTCCCTCTTCATCGTCTCTGTCTAGAAACTCCACCCACTACGGTAGTCTCTCTTTCATTGTATGCTTATTTTTGTCTCTCAACTTTCTATCTCTAAAAGTATCAATGATTCGATATGAACACGAACAACCTTTGTACTAGCAGCTCCCGACTCCATCAACATGAACATTGGAACCCATCAAATTCTCAATCCTCTGCAACGAAGCATCTGCCGATCCTCCAGAATCAAATTCATTATAGATGCCTTGAAAATTTACGCTTTGTTCGGAATGAAATTCTTTTGGGATTTGAAATTGGAATAAAAGGAATTGGATTATAATTAAAATGGAATTCTATTTGCAGTTTGGAATGGACTGGAATTTGTAAAAAGGAATTTGAAAAAACAGATTTTGTAATAGAGAAATGACGGTTGAGAGACTTGAAAGCGGTTACTAGATGGGTAATTTTGGTTAATAAGCAGTTACTTTCCAAATCCCCTCAAATTCTATCAATTTTCCTAGTATTTCATAACCTTACGATATTTCCTTTGAAATCCCCTCAAATCCCCATTCCCTTTTAAAATCCCATCATTCTGAACAAGTGAAAATTTCTTTTGAAATCCACTTCCTATGAAATCCAGTGGTTCCAAACACAGTGTTAGGGTAATAAATATATTAGTATTTGCACAACCTAATCTCCATTTATAGATATCCACCCTAACTATGCAGAAGAGATAAAATCATAAACTAATTTGAAGGTTATAATACAACTTATAGTTTTAGAATAAGAAAGAGGAGTTCTCCTTTGTAGAAAAAGATTCTCGTTCATTTACTTTCAGACGAGAGAAGGTATACATATTGTATGATATTATAGTAGATGTAAAAGAGGCTTGTCGATGAGCTTCTGCCGATGAGAATTCTGTGAAATAGATATCTGTGCTTTGAGGAGTCTCTAGAGTTTGGATTGGATAGAGAGAGACTTGTCTGAGAATTGCTTGCATAAATATAGTTGCCACTTCAGCTGTCAACGCATTCGAGTTATAAATCATGAATTCTATTTGTGAAGTTTATCATTTCTCTTTATGAAATTACTGTTATATATACTAAACATGCATGAAAGAGTTTATTAGTTTGATTAAAATCTTGATGGTTCTGAATTGGTCTTATTACCGTATACAATGTGTACATTTTTAGTTACTATTTTCCTCCTTGGCTGTGGTAAATTTACATGTATTACAAGTTTGTAAGTTATGGTTGATTATAATTTTTGAAGGTGGTGACGTGTGGAAACATGCCCCTTGAGTCATCTTTCCTAAAAGTTCCTAGATGTGTCTATACATCTACAAGCTTATATGAGTATCGAGGATGGGATTCAAAAGCTGCCAATGCTACGCATCGCCGTTTTACATGGGGGCTTAGATCATCAGATGTGAGTAGCTGAATTATTGGTTTCACTAACTTGATGGACAGATATTGTTTCTTAATTTCAGTTCTTTACAGTGTTTAATTTGTGGGAAACGGAAGACTAGAGGGAAGGAAAGGGGAGTGAAAAAGGGGAGGAGGAATGAGGTCTCCCCTGTTTGGTAGAGGGAAGAGGTAAAGAACTGGAGGAGCTCCTCCTCCTCCATGCAGAGTTTTCATCCGCCTAAAAATTTGACAGCGAAGGGGAAGGAAGCATCTGTCCTCCCCTTCTGACCTTTTTTGCGGCTAAAATTTGATGATATATAATTTGGGAGAAGATATTTGCACTCCACTTTTCTACACTTGCACTCCACTTATCTTTTTCTTCTAAAGGAAATGACAAGACCCCCTAAACTCATAAATGCATTATCCTTATTTTGTAATACCATAAATATCCTTTATATTACCTTCTTTACTTTCTTTAGCATATATATTATTTTTGTGTCCTGTCTAAAGAGATAACTTGGATAACTTTTTTTGGGTTCTTTTCTTTTTTGTGTATTTTTTAATTTTTGAGTCCTAACTACCGTTACACATTAAAATATATATAATATACCACTGTAATATTATTTACCTCAGCAATTGCATATTAAACTGAGTAATAAAAGCATATTAAATGCATATAAGTTATAACTAGTACGGTTCTCCTAGGGTTGAAATTGGGACAGGCTTTTACCAGCCATATACTATTCTTAAATTGGGAAGCAAATTTTCTTTCGTTAAAGGTAGACACTATTAGCTTCTATTCCAAAGCTTAGGATCTGCGTATAAAGGCTACTCTTTTTTAACTTATGCTTTTTCCTTCACCTGTAAGCTGTTTTAATATGTTCTAGGAATTCTATTGACACAATGTAATGCACACAAGTTTTTTTTTTTTGATGGAGATATTTTGTTTGTTGGGTCCTGTAAGAAAGGATGGAAGATACTAAAAATTGGAAAGAGGGGGGTGGGACTAACCATATCTAGAAGGGTAGTTGTGTAATTTGGAAAAAAATCATTAACTTGTGAATTTAGGGTTAGAAGTGTCATTTCATTTTAAATTGGAGTGCGAATGGAAAAAGTGGAGTGCGAATATCGCCTCCTATAATGTTTAATATAAAGAATCAGGGGCTAATGGTTAAGCGACTATTGGTGGCTCCCTTTTGAGTGGTTATTACTTTCAAGGTTTCTTGGACTTTATGGTTGAACACCTCTGTAAGTGCTTGCCAATTTGTCTACCTTTTCTGGACTGCTGAGATTTCACACTTTTATTTGCATTGTGTTGTCCTTTGCAGACTCGCGTGGTTGACTTCTACATCTCCGATTTCCAGTCTGGATTGAGAGCGTTGGTTAAGACTGGCTATGGTGCGAGGGTGACTCCTTATGTGGAGGAATCTGTTGCTGTTGATGTCAACCCTTTGAATAAAGATTTATCTCCAGTATTTATCAGGTGGTTGGGGGAGAGAAATCTTTCAAGTGATGATCGAGTAATGCGGTTGAAAGAAGGGTAAATTTTCTGTTCAATTAAAAACTGAATTTTGTCTTCGTAGTTTTTATTTTAAGCAACCTGAAGCATCAATTGAGCAAACATGCTTCAAGAGGTACATGAGAAATAATTTTCTTTCAATCCAGTGATGGCTACACATTGGTGTATGAGTCCCGTCTGTTACCCCTTCCCCTACCCCACTCCCTGCGTATTACTATTTAGACTTTACCAATTAGGTTAGCTTGCGCTTTCTAGTTAGATGAAAATCACTTTCATGGATTTATTTTAATATTTTGATCAATAAATTATTTCATATTGGAAGTTAGAATATCCCATCTGTCCAAGGGTGGAAACATCTGAAGCATTTCAATTTTCAACTATCACGTTGTAATGCAATGCAACAACACTTTTCATGTCAGAGATGTTGAACTTGTGAGCTTTCTTTGTATTGGTAGGTACATCAAAGAAGGTAGCACAGTTAGTGTAATGGGAGTTGTTCAGAGGAATGACAATGTGCTTATGATAGTCCCTCCGCCGGAGTCATTTAGCACCGGATGCCAATGGTCTAAATGTATCCTTCCAACTAGCCTCGAGGGTATTGTTTTGAGATGCGAAGATGCGTCAAAGACTGATGTTATACCAGTTTAATAGCATGTGTACCATGAACTTTTTGGGTACTGCCCTTTGAAAATTAGTTTGTTCTCTCCCTATACAGATGGTGGTGGTGGTGGTGGTGGTGGTGGTGGTGGTGATGAGTGCCAATTAACATGTTTCTTATGTAATTTTGTGTATAGTTATTAGTGGCTCTTTTCACTATTTTTGTTAGAGCTTGAAATGTTTTGTGAGGGATGGTTGGTTGATCATGTAGCTATGGGGATTTTACATGTTTGAGCAGGTTGTGGTTATGTTGAGAGGAAAAGAAAAAAAAAATGCTGATTTCTCAGGTATATTGTTTTCTAATTAAAACTCAAATCTTTTGGAAGTCTGATTTACAGATTTGTATTATAATGTATGTTGGCACATTATGTTGAACACCTTGTTTTGCTCCTTCAGAAATATTTCACTTTTGGGTGATTTCCATGGGTTGTTATTAGTTCCCTTGATGTACTGCACATTTATTTGCGATTGAATGATAGATGAGGTCCAAGGATGATATGACAGATTTTTATTTTTTTTAATTGTTGGATATGAATGGGAGGTGCTTGTAGAGTGAAATTACTCGAAAATCAGTTTTCTCTATTCTCTTGAAGAATTAAAAGCCTCTCCTGTATTGGCGTATTTCGGCTTGATGAGATAATCCATTACTGCGATTGATACCTACAAGCAACGAGTCTCACCACCTCATGGTGATAATTAATATCCGACCCTTGTTCAAAGTTTATTGCATTTTATGAAAAGTTAAGCTGAGGTTCAAATTGAGTAACAATAAATTGAATAATCACCCACTAGCCACAAAATGAAGAAAAAAAACCTTTTATTTTACAAATACCACTAATTTCAGTATGGCAATTCTAGTTTTAACTACGACGACACCTCCTGAGATTTGTCATATTGACATTTATATACAATTTAGTCGTTTTTTTGACAAAGACACCCCATGTGAGAATTTTGATCTAAATAAGCCCTTAAAACGTTTGAAAAGACGAGATTGTCGTTCAATATTTAATTCATTTTTATGATAAAATATCATAACTCATGAAAAGTCAAATTTGCCCATATACATACACTATTACATCGGCACTATCATATATATATATATATATATAAAACCAAGTCCAACAGAAAAAGAACAGCACAATGGTGGTGGCTTATGATAGTTGATCAAATATGTAATCAAATATCAAATATCACAAAATACAAAATAGGAGTTGATCTTTGCACTTTCTATTTTGTGATATTTGATAGTTTTATTTCGAGCACCATGGTGGTGGCGGCTATGGCAGGGCTGTGAAATGGTGGTGGTGGGTGTGGTGGTTGTTGGTTTGATTTATTTGTATGGTATTTTGGTTAATAAAAAAGAATTGTATTGGATAAATTGGTAATTGAATGTGTCAAGGGATAATAATGTCAATTCACCATATGTAAGATCATTGGAGTGTCTTTGTTAATTTTATCAAATCTAGGGGTGTCTTTATTCAAAAAAACAACTAAGTTATATATGATTGTTAATATAACAAATCTCGAAGGGTGTCATTGTAATTAACCCAATATAAGAAAATTCGAGGGTTGAATTGCAATGTGAAAAATGAACGTGCAATTTTATTTTGGCAAATTATTATTATTTTCCTTTTTCTTTTTATGGACATTTATTTATTTATTTATTATGGACGTTTTAACTTTTATACGTAGGATCTCGCTCGCCGAGTGAAGAGATCGACTACTATTCGCCGAAACCCAAGTTTTGCTTCTTCTCCATCTTTTCACTCACCGTCACCGTGTTGGAAATTGCAATTCTTCACACTCGCAGGCGCACAAACACACTCTCCTCTCTCTCTAGGGATTCGATGAGATGGGGAGAGCAGCAACCGGGAAGCACAAGACTAAGAAGTTTGTTTTGATATGCGTAGGGCTTCTGGGAGCTGGTCTAATCGCAGATCTGCTGTGGGCATCCTCTTCTTCCTCTTCCTCTGTCTATCTAGACTTCTCATCCAATTGGACTCCCCAGAAACCCGAGACATTGATTGTACCAAATCTTCGAAATAGTACCGATAAGGTGAGAGTGGTTTTTTCATTCAATTTACATCACGCATGCTTTAATCTACTTTGAATTTCAATTTTAATTAGTTTACTGAAACAGGCATTTTCTTTTTCTCTTTGATTTGATTTGTCTTTGGTATGTCACTTTGAAAACTGTGTGAAAGGAAACCATTTTTTATTATTCTGGATTTTCTTGCTCTTTGGGTATGCGATCTTTCTAATCTAAGTTACTAATTTAGTAAAAAATTGAATATTTTTCATGTATCCCAGGTAAGATTGAGATTGTAGTCTCAGAAAAAATTGAAATGATTTATTTTATGGGTATTTTAAAAATGCTGAATAAAATCATTCCATATGCCACCAAATAATAATAATAATAATAAATTCTGTACACTACTTATCAAAAAATAATAATAATAAATTCTGTACACTACAATGCAATGCAAATGGCATTGCTCGTTATGAAGAGTAATGACCGATCCCCTTTATGACAGGTAGTTGCTGATAAAAATGGCAAGCACCCTGCAGCTGGGAGGGCTTTATCAGCGACTTTTGCTGATTTGCCTGGCCCTGAATTAAAATGGGAGAAGATGGCATCGGCACCTGTGCCACGACTTGATGGGGCAGCTATACAGATCAAGAATCTCCTCTTTGTCTTTGCTGGATATGGGACTATTGATTATGTGAGAATCTTGAACATCTCCAGAGTATTTGTGTCATGAAAAATCTCGTCCAGGGCTAGATATCATTGCCATTTATGTTTTTGTCTCAAATTTTGTGTTATGGGTTTTTAATGTTCTTGAACCTTGTTTCAAGTTTTCTTATTTTTCCTTTTTCTTGGCACTATTTCTTTTGTTCCAATATGAACCAAATTTATCAGTTAACTGTATTAAATAAGCACACACAAACACGATAACTCACACAAGGATATATAAAGTGTATATATAGAGAGAGCAATAGTCATTTACTAGCTTTATGATGTTCATGTTACTGTCTCTGTCATGAAGATTTGAATGCCTTGGAATTGAAACAATAACATGTCATGAAGACTTGATAATGTAAAATTGCTAGAAATGTTATCCCTAGTTGAGGTTGGCAACTCCAAATGCAGGCTTGCAGCTAGCTTAGCTTGATAAGCGTAGTGGCAGTGGTATTACATCCCTGGGTTTGAGTCTTTTAAGGTGCTTAAACACCTTCTTCATCTCCCATCTCCACTTGCCTGTATGACTGATTTTGTTTTGTTTTATTTTATACATCAATACAGTTAAATCTTAAACTGCTTGGGTTTGATAACATAGACTGGTTAATGAGTTCAGCCTGTCACAAATATGCTACATTAGATTTTTAGTTCTGACTGGCTGTTTATCTGATCTAGCCTTTTTTTCCTTCACTAGACTGGCACCAACAATGAAACCTACCACTTGCAGAAACATATTATACATAGATATATTTATGTATGCATTTGCATTTTCACTACTTTTTTGAGAATTTCCAGGTCTTAATGTTTCTGTTTGTTTTTCATTTCTTCTTTAAATAGGTGCATTCTCATGTTGATATCTACAATTTTACGGACAATACATGGGGAGGAAGGTTTGATATGCCGAAAGAAATGGCACATTCACATCTCGGAATGGTAACGGATGGGAGATACATCTATGTAGTCACTGGACAATATGGGCCTCAATGTAGAGGGCCTACAGCACATACATTTGTGCTAGATACCGAGACAAAGGAATGGAGGGACATGCCCCCTTTGCCAGTACCTAGGTGTGTGCCATAGGATGAATATAAATGTGCTAAATATCAATACTATGATATTCGATTGTTTGATGTTTTTGTCCTTTTTCATCTGCTTATCATTTTAGATGATTTATTATCTATTACCATATCATTAGACTTAAACATTCACTTGTGGTACTGGCGTTTGTATTTCTTTTTCTGATTTATGGTGGTTCGTTAAATATCTTGTACTTGCTTTAACTAGAAAAAAATATTAGATTCTTCACCTAAGTATTAGGATTCTAACACGTACCTCTTAGCTGGATTTTTTTAGTTCCTGCTGCAAAGCAAGTGATTGGTATATTTCTTGCTTTATAATATATGATCGATGATGATTCATGTTAGGCACTTTGGCCTACCTAAAGAATGGGAAAAAGGAGTGGAATAGATAAAATTATGAACTCAGCAGAGATATAAGTATTATTTTTACATTTAGTAACCTATTTAAAATAAGATTTTTTTTATATATATATTTTTATATTTTTTTTATTTATATTGTTATTTAGGAAGGTTTTGTGCTTTGGTAGGCAGAAGAAAGGTTAAAAGGCTTGTAGTTAGAAATTTCTAGGAATTTTAGAAAAAATCGTGTCAGAATTTTCTTGACAGCAAATGTCATAGGAATCATAAAGCCAGCTGTAAAAACAATTATCATCTCTACTGGTGATATCTGGTTGCATAATTTGGCTCTAATGTTGTAAATTAGTGGCTTCAATAAATATTGTCCGAGTTATTTTGTGGTTGTAAATTTGTTTAGTTACTACTTGGATGGAATGTATTAACTTGATGATTTCAGGTATGCACCAGCAACCCAACTTTGGAGAGGTAGACTACATGTGATGGGTGGCAGTAAAGAGAATCGACATACACCTGGATTGGAGCATTGGAGTCTAGCAGTAAAGGATGGCAAAGCTCTAGAAAAGGAGTGGCGAGTAGAAATACCGATACCTCGAGGTGGACCTCATAGGTTTGTTGGCTCTATCTTCTTCTGGTAACTATATACTATGTTTCATGGACTCTCCAAAGTAGGTGAAGTACCCGTGACCGACACATTATTCGGACATGGTTATGGGATATGTTTCCGACACTTTTGGTTAGATATGCACCTAAAAAATCTATCAAATAATTTCTTTTTATTATATTATTACTTCAAATGAGTGAAATGTCTTTTCTAGTCACTATATTACATAAAAACATTATTTTATTCTTTAATTTTGCAGTGTATATGTGTCCTTTTGTTTGGGATTGGACACATCCAAAGCATGTACACATACCCATACCTGATACACGTACCTGAGTTCATGTAACATAGACTATATATTATGGGCACTTGCAGAAATTCTAATATACCAACTTAATGATTAGGAGGGAAGATAGAAAGTATGGATAATATTTCCGTTGTTTGGTAGAGGGGAGAGGGGTAGGAAGAGGGAAAACGATAAGAGGATGGGTAAGGCATCACTCAAGGGCCGCTAATTTTTCTCTCCAAAATTAGAAGAAGGGAAAGAGGGGAGAGAAGGATACTTCTTGTCCAAAATGGAAATGACGTTATCCCCCTCATTTACTAAAATCTACCATATCACATACATATTACTTTATATGTTGAGAGGTATGGTAGTAAAATAATATTCAAAACTTGCTCTTCCCTTTCCTCCTATCTGGCAATGGAAGGTATCACCCCTTTCATTACCTTACCTTACTTAACCTAACAAAAAGGTGGAAGAACCCCTTGCTTTTTCATTGTGGTGCCTCTTCCATCCCTCGTTCTATACTTCTGTGCCTTTGATCCACCTTTCCATCCCTCCTACAAAAAGGGGTTTTCTGAAAATGATAATTTTGGAATATAATTATCAAATTTACAAGGCTGTTTAATCTTTCTCTAATAATTTTGTCTCTTTGACTTAATTGTCAATTTGAGGAGACATAAATTCAACTATTCCTGATGCTTTTCTAAGCCTACATTTCTACCTTCATTATATTTTGTCAGTCAGTGGAATTTTATTTTATTTTTGACGTCGTTTTGTCTTTATTTCAGTTCTCATAGGCATGCTATTGATGTTTTACAACTTAAGAGAAACAAACATAAATACTTGATGTTTTCTTCAGTATCCGTGGCAATTGTTCACCTATTTGTGTTTTTTTTTCCCTTGTCCATGCAACTGGGTTGTTTGTAGTGATGGGATCTCTCTCTCTCTCTCTCTCTCTCTCTCTCTCTCCTCTTTTCAAGGTTAAATTTTCTGTACTGCCTGGAATTCTGTATATTGATATGGCGTTTATATAGTAATCCATATAGAAGCTATACCACATGGATCTTCATTAAAATTGCCAGACTTGTTAAAGCTACTTTCCATCGCAATAAATATCATTCTCTAGTGATTTAATTGTATAATTGCAAATTCTAATATGTAGGAATGTAGTAGTTAACTTGTGTAGATTATATGAAACAAGCAAAATGACGGAAAATTTGAAATAGGTATTTAAAATTTTTGTTCATATTGTGTTGATCCTGCAATCATATTGTTATTATTCTCATCTGTGTTACTCTTCATGTAGGGCCTGTGTTACGGTTGATGATCGATTGTACGTTATTGGTGGTCAAGAGGGTGATTTTATGGCCAAGCCTGGATCGCCTATTTTCAAGTGCTCTCGTAGGAATGAGGTAATCTGATTACCATTTTGCATAAAAGATTGACAGTTGATGGGGTGATACGGCTTTATCAATTCGATAAATATGTATACCCCTGAAAGAGAGTGCAGTTTTTCCTTGGCTTGCCATGATGTGAGCAGCGCACACACATTATACAAAGAGTAATAGATAAATCTTTCTTTGAACCTCTTAGATTAAGAGACAACACTTGGTAGTACCTAGCTTCTTCTATTGAAAACGGTGCTCAAGTGTGTCCTTTTTTCTTTTTCTCCTTTTTTCCTTTTGTTTTAAGCTTCCTCAGCATCTTCGAGTTGAGCTTATAATATATATTTGCATATATGTTCTGGGTTGTACCGCCAAATCCCAGAGAAGAAAGAAATTGTTATATCAAACTTCGTTTTGGCCTTCATTATGATTTCAAATTCTGGAATGTTACAGGTTGTATATGCTGATGTTTACATGTTAGATGATGAGATGAAGTGGAAAGTGTTGACTCCTATGCCAAAGCCCGATTCCCATATAGAGTTTGCTTGGGCACTTGTTAACAATTCAATTATTATAGTTGGAGGCACGACAGACAAGCACCCCGTAACCAAAAAGATGACACTGATTGGAGAAGTTTTCCAGTTTAATTTAGATACACGGGTATTCCTCTTTTATCATCTGAACCTTCTAAGATTTGCAATTATTAAGTACTTGCATTTGCATTTGCACTTGCACTTGCACGCACACACACACATTCAGAGATAATGCTAGCATATTATTAGTGTTGGATCTTTTGCTTCAATTATTGAGCTTGCTGCTACCTTATTCCTTTCATCTGCCTTTGCTTAGTTGTTATTCAAGCCATTGAAATAAAGTAGTTTGCTTATTACATGGCTTCATAAATTTCCTAATTCTGCTATGTGCAAACTCTCAAGCTTCCCTGTTTAAACTTTTATTCACACAGGTAAGAGAGATTTGATGCTACCTACTCCCCACCCACTCACAAAAAAGATATAAGTTAATATATAAAAGAGAAGAAAAGGGGAAATAAAAAGGTTTGATGTTTCTTGATTTCAGTTCTCTCCTCTGATTGTTAAACGATTTCTGGAAAGAGTGAACACACATAATGGTTGATGTTGACATATCATGTGCCTGCGGTTACAGTTAGAGAATTATTGGAAAGCCATCAATCTTGACAGTGCGAAAATTGTTTAATTTACACCCCCTGATGTGTATTCCTGAATGGAACCGCAGTTGCAAGTTCAATAAAATGTGCTGAAATCTGCTACTCCATCCTCAAAAATATTCAGATATTTTATGCCAAATGGGCCAGTCGAACATATCTTTGACTGAAAATGAAATTGATTTTACTTAAAAAAAAAAGAAAATGGAATTGATTCAAGTGTTAAAGCCTGTTAGACATCATGACCTAGACCCTGCTGCAAGCCTTCTTTGGAGTTGGCCATCTTCATCTACTAATCCCTTAGTGCCCCCACAAAAAATTAGAAACAATAAAGAATTAAAAACTACTACCCACCCACCCCCACAGCACACATGCTTGCACAGATCTTTGCACTAAATCATCTGTTTTCCTGAAGACGCTATATTTTTAGCTATCAGAACAGGAAAAGGTTTTCTTTGGATTCGTTATAATAGAATACTTGAGTTTTCATGGTTGTTTCAAAATGAAGTTTGTCTTTTATGTCTTTGCCTTTGCGGTGAACTTAACGAGTGCAAGTGGTCATCTATGCGCTTGGTTGGGTGGTTAGAACAGACATCCTCTCCCTCAAAAAAGTGTTAGGTTGCAAGCTACATTGTGGTAGAGAGAGATCTTGTCTTATTGACCACACGTCTGTTGTTCTTACAGAATTAAAGTTATTCGTGTGGTGCGTCTTGTTTGGAGTCATAGCAGCTGTGTTAACACAATCTTATTGATCAATTCCTTGAGTGGTAATTAGCCTTCTGAGTTTGGTTTTCTGTGTGTTTCCTATAACTATTTGTGCAAGACTGCATCTTGACCAGAGCATTTATTTCCGTTGTTTTCTCTTACACTCGCTTTATATGATGTATCTTTACAAAGGAATATTTGCTTTGAAAAAAATAAAATAAAAATAAGCCTGCATCTTGACCAGAGTAGTCCATGCTGCTAAAGCCAGTTCATGAATGATGAAACTAAGATTCTCGATATTTGTTTGACATTTTGTCATTGAGTGTTCTCAATATTATGCCTTGAAATTGCATTCAAGTTTTCAAGTTCCTTCTATTCTATTCACTTCTGTGGAACTAAGTGGCAACAACTGTCCGTTATATATATATATATATATATATATAATTATGACCCGTGCCTATACTTTATTAATGATTTACAGAAATGGTTGGTGATCGGAAAACTTCCTTATCGTGTGAAGACTACTCTAGTTGGGTTTTGGAATGGATTCTTGTATTTCACATCAGGGCAAAGGGACAAAGGACCAGATGATCCAGCACCAAAGAAGGTCCTTGGAGAAATGTGGAGAACTAAATTGAGCTTATGACCAATTTTCAGCCATTCTTTTTGTATGCTTTCGTCACTTTGATTGATTTTCAGCTTTTGCGGTCAATTCAAAATGTTGTCTGTATTAATAATATTTACCATGTTTTTCAGGTGAAGTCAAATTTTTTTTTTTTTATTCTCCTTTATTTTTTTGGTCAGAAGGGGGTTGGGTTTGGGTGGAGGATAAAAGAATCATTAATTATTTGTCAACTTGCAACCTTGTATAACTTTGTATTTTACCAACCCTTACAGTTATACGAATAGATCAAATTTGCCACCCCCCATGAGATACCAAGGGGTGTTTGAATCTCTCTCTCTCGCACGCGCACGCGCACACACCCCCATGTGGTCCCGCCCGCCCGCGTGTGACGCGTGTCCACACATAATGTTTTTATAAGATGTTTGTAATCATGGTTATGTTCATTTCCTTTGGACACAATTGAATGTGACTAATTGGTTTCATTTTCAATGACATGCCACGTTATATATATATATATATATATATATATAGTGATCTGCTTATTTTGGATATATCGATAGTGTTTTCTAACACTTTACATCATGACAATTGGTGAGCGACCTTAACTGCTCAAACTTGATTCTAAGGTTGTGTTTGGTATAGTAGGACGGAAGAAAAGAAAAAATGATAATATTAATCACGAGAGAAAAAAAAAAAAAAGAAATGATATAATAATGTTTGTCTAGTATTGTGTTTGATTGATTAATGAAGGAAAATATTGAAAAATATAATATTAAGTTATGAGTAGTGATTTAGTGACTGAACTTATTAATTATGAGAGAAAAGAAAAGAAATGATATAATAATTTTTGTCTAATATTGTGTTTGATTGATTAATGAAGGAAAATATTGAAAAATATAATATTAAGTTATGAGTAGTGATTTAGTGACTGAATTCGACAGTTATGAATTTAAATTTATGTGAAAGGGGGTGGTGGTTTTCATCACGTGAGAAATATTTTCATATACCTTAACTACTCTGTTATCCGTGTCATCAATTAATTGTGCCATCACATAAGTAAAAGTATTTTATTTCGTGTCATTACGTGATCAGTTGATAATACCATCACATCACTCACTAATACAATCAGAGCGAAGCTTAGTAAAAAAAGATTGATTTATTTTTATTGTGTGAGTGATAGGGTAAATCTGTATTCACTTGTATAAATATATAAAACAAGTTTCCATTTCCTTTCTTTAGGGTTACATCTCCATAACTAGAGACTGTTGGAGAACTTGTTAAGGCAGACACAAGAAGAAAGCAATATACAATTTTTGACCACTACATGGAATCAAAGTCGCATATGAGCGGGTGCATATGACCATCAATGACTGGGCTAACAAAAACAAAATACACATTCAAGATGATGACCCCACATTGTATAATTGTGTATAATTAATTTGGACGTGAGTCATGTGGACTTATTAAAATAAAATAAAAAATAACATACATAAATACATGCATGCATGTACTCCCCTATATAATAAGAAAAAAAAAAAAAAAAAAAGGTTACAATTCAAGTAAGCCCCGCCAATGGGCACGCGGCAAAATAAAGAAAAGAGAGAGAGAGAAGCTAATTAAGTAGAGAAAGGACATTTCATGATGTACAATTATACACAAATTTCTCCATCTCTCTCTAAGGTCTCTTTCTGGTGTGGCCATCAAACATTGACAATTTCTCTTACTTGTTGTGAACGGACTCTCTGTTTTTTTATCTTTGAAAACTCAATTTTTTCTTCTTGTTGATTGCTTCCAACTTAAGATTTTCCTCCATATTAGTTTGGTGATTTACCATCCTAACCACTACAAATGTCCCCTTCTCACCTTTTGTTTCATGGTTCACTGACTCACTGCAATAAAGAATCATGAGCAGTTATGTGCTCTTTAGTTTCTGAACAGCTAATTTGGTATATTTGTTGTTTTAGTACTTAACTGTTCTATTTATGCAGATTGTTTATATACTTGTTTCATATTTGAGAGTGACTTTCATGCTAGTTTTGTGGTAAAGATTCATATTTCATATTTGGATTCACAATTGACACAAACGAGCTATCTATCCAAATGACGGTATCCAAGATGTTTTCATACATTTCTGGCTATCACCTATTTAGGGTTCTAGTTTTCGTAATGAGTTTAGTTTTGTTGGGATTGTTATCGCGGCCATATCTCAGTGATGAGTATTATTATTACACAAGTGATGAGTTTCCGAATTCAATGAGAGATCTCTCAAAAGGGGTTGATTATCCCCCTGTTTTCGCTTATTGGATTTATGGTTCTGGAGGAGAGAGTAGGAAGATATTGAGGCTGCTAAGAGCAGTGTATCACCCGAGAAACCAGTACCTTTTGAAACTTGATGCTAGTTCATCCAAGTATGAGAGGAGAGAATTAGCTCTTTCAGTTCAATCCCAGAGGATTTTCCAAGCTTACCGGAATGTTAATGTTATGGGCAGAAGTTATGCCTTTAATGAGATGGGATCCTCGGCTCTTGCTGCCACGCTTCACGCCGCCGCATTGCTTCTCAAGATTGGTGCAGATTGGGACTGGTTCATCACATTAAGGGCTTCTGATTATCCACTTATGACTCAGGATGGTAAAAATGCTACCTCTTTTCACACAGTCACACACTTCCATGTTCAAACTTTTTGTGGCAACATATGTTATTGATGGTTGAGAATGCATTAGTTTCCTTCTAATGACTTGAATTGGTGAAATCTCATCTGGATCTTATTGATGACACTATATGATCTTGAATAGAATAGATTGTTTTGAGATCTTAATCTCTCTATTTTGTAATTTCCCATTTATTGATATGTTTGACTGGTAAGACCAAGTTAATGTAGGAACTCAGGAAACCTTGCAGCAGCTACCTATCCTTGAAATAGTTACAACATTCCCACTTACATAACTTTTCCTCCATTTTTCTTGCCAACCAAACAGAGCATTAATGTCAGTGCTGATCATGCTGTAAACATTATTTCAACTTTTATGCAGATATCCTTCATGCTTTCACTTTCTTGCCAAGGGATATCAATTTTGTGCATTACACAAGCAACAGTTTCTGGAAGGAGTAAGACAAGCCACTATTGATGCTTCCAATTTATCTTGTTTCACTTGTTTTGGTCCTCTAATGAGAAAGTTTAAGGTGCCTGTTAAGGACTTGATTGAGACAATTTGCCCATGTAAATGAACCTAAGGTCTTCCCATTAAAACATTAATTAGCTGCTCAAACAAAGTGATTAATCAATGAGCGTTTTTCGTCATTCTACAATGACAAATTGACAGCAGGTTTGTTGCCAAGAGCTAGAACTCACACAGGTGAGGCTTAAAGATGGTGAGTCCAACTTCCCTGCATGTTAATTTGCAAATGACAACATTAACAGGCACCTTAAATTTTCCATTTTCGTATTCATATTTTTTTCTCTCTCGCATTAATCAACATCCGAAATTTTTTTGGTGCAGGGGGCAAAAAATTAACCAAATTGCTGTAGATCCCAATCTGTATGAAGAGAAGAATACTCCAATTTTCTATGCTACAGAGACTAGAGAAAATCCAGACGCGTTTAAGATTTTTGGAGGTTAGTTTGGAATCAAGGGACTTAATCTGAACCTCTCCTCCCTCAAAGGGGAGTTGAAGGGTTCGAACCTTGTAGTAAACCAATTTGTGAAATGTGTGTGAGTAATTAACTGACCCCAAAAAAAGGGACTTAATCCGATAGGCAGAAACTCATAGTCTATAGCCTATGAGAAGTAGTAGGAGAAGACTGAAGACAAACTTAACATCCAACACTTTTTCCATGGAGTGACTGGTTTCAGATCTGAAACTTCTACTATTGCACCAAGTAATGACCATACACACACACACACACAAATGATTGATCATGATAGAATCAAATATTGTAATGACTCAACATCCAAATACTTTTGGAAGTGTTGCAAATACTTGTGAACATTACATAGGGAAAACACCTAGATATAATTCAGAAATTTTGGGAAATCAAGAGTTTTTGTCACAATCACTGTCATTTTGTTTCTATTGAGCAGGTTCACCTTGGTTGATTTTAAGCAGAGCCTTTATGGAGTTTTGTGTAAATGGATGGGACAACCTCCCCAGAAAATTACTAATGTACTTCAGCAATGTGGCATATCCTCTTGAATCATATTTCCACACAGTCATCTGCAACTCACCTGAGTTCCAAAACACCACAATGGACAATGACTTAAGGTACATCATTTGGGACACGAGCCCTACAAACCAGAGACCCCAAGTGCTAAACAGTTCACACTATGACCAAATGGTAGCAAGTGGGGCAGTTTTTGCAGGACCATTTGAAGAAAGTGATCCAGTGCTAGAAAAGCTTGACCAGGGTATCCTAAACCGCCTCCCGGACGGATTGGTGCCCGGAAAATGGTGCTTGAATGAGAGTGTAAATAGTTCAAAGGCTGATCAGCATGGTGTTTGTTCAAATTGGAGTGACATTAATGCCATTAAGGCATGGCCCTATGGATTGAAGCTTGGGAATTTTTTCTCCAACCTTGCTACACAAGGGAGACTGACAACTAATCACTGCCACAGTAGGGATACATAAAAAATGTTAGTGGAAATTTTTAAACTGATACAAGGATGTGTGTCAGTCACAATGTATCAGATACAAATACGTATGTCATAAAAGTTTCCTTGAAAGACATGTTATATATATATATACACAATATATTATACTCTCTTTCTTCTCTCTCAGATGGGTGTTAAGTCATATAATTTGTATTAGTAAGTACAGGAATTAGATTAATTTTGTGTAATAATGATTCTTCTAATAAAGGAATTCTTATTTTTTTTTTTCATTTGAAGAGCATAAGACCTTATGGATGTGCAAATGACCTAAGTCACACAATTCTTCTTAACAGGTGTCGTTCTAATACTCTAAGCGCGTTCCTTCTTTCACGCTCCGCGTGTGCTCTTGTTCAAATTCTCACTCTTTATGACTTAATTACGTCGCTCTCGAATTCGCTCCCACTCCTTCTTTATATGATTTAGCACATGACAACTAATTATATTAATGTATTAATTATAAAAAGAAAAAAAAATAAAAGGTCATTATATATATATATATACACAAACACACACAGGAAAATTATAGTTCCTTGATTTGTAGCAAAAGAAGCACATGATATTCCACAATTAAAGGCCATGTGGGAATGAGATGTTATTCCATTTCTTTAATAGACCTTGTTGCATCTAATTAGCTACCCTACCACCCACTTGTCAAAAATTATGTCACACAATAGATTACTTAATAGTTAATTACTAAAATATTAAGCTATAGATGATTGCTTCATATAAAAACAACAATAATAAGCAAACATCATGACAACTAATTAAGGGGAAACTTATGGTTAATATTACTCCATGCACATTGTCACCAAGAATCTCAAAGGCCAAATCATTTGACCCCCCTCTCTCTCTCTTTCTCTCTCTTCATTGGATTCTTCCAACAACAACTTTAAATTGCATCCACAACCACTGATGTCTATCCACCATTACCAAGCCTTCTCATGAGTGCCTCAAGTCTCTAGGACACACACAGTCCTCACATTTCACCATTCTTTATTAAGTCTGATTTATGATTCTTTTCTCACACATAAAAGTAATCAACTAACCTCCTGGAATATATATATATATATATATATATATATCATTAGACTTGACTATTGAGTGCCCTCTATTTACGATGTACCAGTATTTTAAAGAATGAGTGTTGTATTGGCATTAGACCATAACAATGTATGTCCAAGGCAGTACTTGTACTTCAACCATTGTAGAGTTTGAAGTAATTGTTATGATACACTTGTTATAGAGAATTTTTTAAAATCAGTTTCCAAATCTTATATTGCTAGGTGATCTTAATAATTAAGGTGGAGGTTGTTTCTTGGTACAGTAATACAAAATTGTGAGTTTGAATTTTTTTTTTAAAAAAATCCCTTTGTACGTAGAAGTAGTATTAAAAATTAAGTTTGTACCCTGTATCAATAAGAATGACACTTGATAAGAATCAGTATTTATGTTAATTAGATTTAAACAAGAAGCCCCAATTGACTTTAAGGCTTAAACCTTTTTCTTTTTCTTTTTTGTTTTCATCAATTTCTTCTATGTAACAAAAGAATTGAATTTCAACTTTCTATTTTTTAATTTCTTCCATGTAATAAAAGAATTTGTGGAAAACCCAATTGCACCTGATTGTTATTTTATTACATTTTAATAATATTTGGGTTTTTTTTTTCTTTTTTTTTTTCTTTTTCTTGACAAAGAACTCCCTGTTGGAAAAAGTTGAATTCTCCACCGTCAACTTTAAAAAGGAGTGAAGCAACCACTAAATCACATAACTTGTTAATAATATTTGATTTGATTGAATATAAAAACATTTAAAACACGGTTCTAGCTTATAGGTTGTCAAGTTCCAGGATTAAAAGTGTTGGAGATTGTCAAATTTAATGTGTATAAGCATCTAATTCTGTTTATTTTTTTTAAATTAAAAAATAAAAAAAGAAAAAGAATTAGGTAATTGTCAGTGTTCGTAGACTTGTTCGGTGCTGTTACATGAAGTCAAATTTGAAGGGTAAATGTGGAAGCAAATTGTTTGTGAGGGAGAGATTGATACTTTGCTACAGGGTTGAGATTTTTTCAAAGAAATCAAGTAGTTGGCAAGGCAGGGGGGTCCACGAGGACGAGGATCTCTCATTTCCTCCTTGGCTTCATTTTAAATATAGGAGAGGAAGATGTGGCTGCTGAGTGGCGAGTGTTTGTTTGATCACGTGGGAGTCATGTGACACTATTCTAATTTATGGCTCCTCATATAATTAACACATTTTTGACCCAAAGGAAAATAAAGACAAAGAAACCTATCTTAGTTTTGTTCGAAATTCAAAAATGAGAAGGAGAAGAAAAAGAAAGAGAAAGAGAAAGAGAAAAGGGGATGAAAGAGTGGTTTTGCTTTTTTGATTATGACTTTTTTGCCCTTTTTAAGTGAACTCATTCTTCTCATTTTCCATGATATAAGAAAATATTTTTCTGAATTTTCCTTTGTTTTCCAAATCTAAGAAACCATTGTCTTTCTTTTTTATCTCTTAACACTATCATATAGTACCTTTTTTTCTCTTCTACTTATCCCAAAACAATATAAGTTTTGATCAACCTGACTTCACGTAGCAAAGCATCAACGAGATTTTGTACAATTAAGAATGTCATCTTTTCAAAAAGTTGATCAGATAGGACCTTCTACTGTATCAAATAGCTCACAGTGTACACGTGTTATTACGTGTGTTGTGAGCATTTAATGCTCTCATCACCTTTACATGATCACCCAAGTGGGGCGTGTGGGCTAAAGAGGATTCAAGTTTCCATTTTCAAAAGATGATGGCCGCTGTATTCTATTTTGAATGCTACTTCGCCCATGGATTGTTTGTTATCTTAATTTCTTTGGTTGTATAATGCTAGCAGCCGAAAATCTTCTCAAGTTTGTCCGTAATTGGCAACAACCATGCACTTGTATCCTAATCCGACCATAATTAAATATTTGTAGCCATAGAATGTTGCTTGCATCCATATAGTTTCACCCAACTCAAATGGAAATTCATCGTAACACATTCTACCTTGCATTTTTTATATCTTTACCCGTGTTTTTAGATAAATAGAAATTATATATTTAAGTCAAACCAAATAAATAGGCAAATTCTACACATCAGTTGATAACATATTTACGTGATGTCCACTCCATGTCATCTTTCTATTTTTCCTTCTATTCGGCTAGAAATTTTGACCTCAAACTCACCTAAATTTTCAATTTAAAATAGGAAATTATGATTTGAATGGATTTTATTATTGGAGGCATTATATTTTCAAAAATACACATATAACCCTCTCCAAAACTTAAAAATAAAATGATTAAAATTAGTAGCTGCAAAAAATAGATGGAGTATTTCGAAGTGACTCAAGAACAAGATTCTAAAATTTAACAATACCATCATCATTGGAGTTTTAATTTCTAGAAACAAAACAAAAGCTTTTCTAGTTTTTTTTTTTTTTTTTTTTTTTTTTTGCATTTCAATAAAGAAAAAAAATCTAAAAAGAAAAAAAGAGAATACAAAACAACGTTATGAAACTTTGATCCGCGTTGTAGGAACCAACTCACGAGTAAATCAGATGGGTTAGCATTCAGCCCATCCTTCTTCCTCCACGTCCACGTGCTGATCGCGTCGTCGTGTTTTTCGCGTCTTCAAGGCACGTGCCAGCTTCGACTCGGCGCCCAATATCAACTTCGCCGGTACGCCAGACACCTCCTCAAGCCGCTTCAAGATCTGCCACGTGGACGATGATATGTCCCCGCACAATCTCATGCTGAACCACAGCGACGCCGCGAGGGACACCCGGAGGGGCAAAACCGTCAACTCATCCAAGCAAATGCGGAGGGCTTGAATCGCCGTGGCCACCTCGCAGCTCCCACTCAGCCCGAGTCTCCTGCACCAGTTCACAAAAACGTCCTCCGCTTTCGATTCCACTGCCCGCGGAGCTCGCGACTTCGATTTCGATGTGACTTTGCCGGAAAATCTCGCCGGAAGCTTCGAGGAGTGCTCGCCGGTGACGGAGCTCGACGAAACAACTCCATCCGATTTCAAACTATCGAAATCGATCTTCTTCGGAGGACTGGCGCAGGACTCGGTGGTTGAGATACAAGCGGAAGGAGATGGCGATGACAAGGAGTCGAGGTCGTCGTCTCCGGGAGATTCCAGCGAGCAGGAGTGGCAGATCGGTCGAACCGGCTGCAATCCGATGCCGGAGACCCGATCACAGGTGAGTCCTTTGCATTTGGAGCAAACAGTGCGGCGATCGTGCCGAGCTACCAGGAAATTCGCTCCGTGAACCTTAGAGTCGCAGTTCCAGCACAGAAACGCAGAGTCGGACGAACAGTACACAGCAGCTTCTCCATTACACAACTCGCAAACCCTAACTTTCATCGCTAAAAATTTGAAAAGATTTATATATTTTTTTTAAAAAAAAAGACCTGAAAAGGAAGTTCCGGCGATCGGAATGTTACTGCAGGGTCGAGACAATGAGGAGCAAGGTTGCCGGATTCCAGCCGGAATGCGGCAATTTGCTAAGAAGCAAAAACGCCTGTGATATTTCTCAGGTCTAGAGATAGTTGTTGTGTGTGTTTGAGATAGAAAGATAAAGTGGTGAGAGAGCAAGGTTGAAAGAAAAACAGGAGACTGTGGTTTGAGTGTATTGCGGATCGAGAAGGAGGCGGAGTTTCTATGGTTTCAAAGTAATTCTGTGGATTTAGAAAACAGAAAGAGAGATTTAGAGAGAGAGAGAAAATTCAGGATAACCAAGAGAGATTATGTGGTTTCAAAGAGATGATGAAATGAATTTACTCTCTAGCTTGAGAGAGAGAGGCGGTGGTTAGTGACAGAGTGGTTGTTTGAGTGTTTGGTTGAAAACAGAGTGAAAGAATGATTTGAAAGAGGGTATACGTATATATATAACTTGTGAAACGGAATTGGACTACCCACATATATATAATATATATATAAGCGCTCTCTCTATAATAACTCTTTCTCTCTCTTCTTGTTCTCTAGCGCCATCCCTGTCCACAAAACCTCGTTTCCTCGAACGACTAAATATCCCTCCATCTTTACTTTTTGCACTTATGCCCTTGATCTCTTCACTAATTGATAAGTTACTCAACATAAATGAAGAATGACTACAAAATTTTAAAATAAAAAATAATAGGGTTTATTTTTTTCCCAATAATTAACATTAATTATTATTGAAAAATAGATATATCTTTTTTTTTCAAAAATTGAAGGTCTATTTATGCGAGTATCAATTATTTATTATCAGAGTATAACTAAAATTACTCACATTTTAAAACTTATTTTTGGACCTGTGCGGTAACAGTACGATGTTGTACTACACTAGACAATTATGACTATTTCAGTATAGCACCGTGCAATTTAAGAAAAATGATCTAGATTTTTAATTAATATAAACAAGTTATTTCTTTTTATAAAAAGAAAATAATGATATTAATTAAAAATTATTAAATAGAATCTTTTGCAGTGAAAGGAAATTAAGTTAATTTATAGGACAATCAAATGTAATGTTACTTTTTTTCATTTTTATAAAAGTTTTTACGATCCTGTTAAATTTGTATGCCTGTTCCTTTTATTAATAATGAAATTTGCATAAAATTTGAAATTTAATAATTGAATTTTCTCACTCTTGTTTTGTACGGGTGGGCCGGCCTCAAAAAATATCTGGATTCTACCAACAGAATGGTATCAAATCAATTCCACAACTACAAGCACTTCTGGGCCAAGAGTTGGAGGGACTCTCACAAGACTCGACACGTGGCGGAATTTGACTGTGTCGTCGTCAATATACGCATCATAAGTTATGTTCCAGATATGCCCTTGTCCTCCTTTTCGCTGCAACACCACATGACATGAGATTTATGGCCCTTGTACTCCCTTTCATCTTCAAGACCACACCAAAGCATGTGAAGTGAGTACGGTCCTCTTTTTCTTTTTCTTTTTTAGTAAATTTTGATTGGTCATTGGAAACGAAGGAGCTTAAATCTAAAAGAAAAATTCACAAGTTTTATTTATTTTTATTAAAACACAAATACATTTTCTTTTATACTAATAAGTCCTACTTTTGAAATTTTTTCTATTTAAGTTTTAAAACATTAAAATTCTCAATTAAATTATATAAAAGAAAATTTTGGTTCAAAACATTTAACTATCTACCTAAGTTTTTTTTATATAGTAATGACTAATGAGAAGTCATTCTAAACAAAGTATTCTTTTACTCGTGGTTACAGTGAAGTTTCAAATATTTTTAGTTACTACAAATCACAAATATTGTTTAACTCATAAATGCTAGAACTTGAGGTTTTAAGGTAATAACTTGAAACAACCATTTGTTTGAGAAACATCAACATGAAAAAGAATTAGGTTAAAGTACAATGACACCCTTAAGGTTTAGTATAAAGATAATGAGATACAAGTTAATTTATTTTTGGATAATGACACCTTTTGTCAAAAATTGAATCCAAATAACCCTTAAAAATTATAAAAAGTCAATATTGCCCTTTATTTATTTTATTAATTTAAATTATAAAATATCAAAACTCTTAAATGACGTTTTTACCCTTATACACTCATTACACCTATATATATTTAGGGTTAATTACAACGATACCCCCTGAGATTTACCATATTGATAGTCATATACAACTTAGTCCCTTTTTGAACAAAGACACCTCCTAAGTTTGTATACTTGAATAATGACACCCCATTTTAAAAAAAACAGAGCAAAACACAGCCTTAAGTGACATGAAATGTCTAATATACCCTAAGATATATTTTAATCATCACCTAAAATGACCAAACTACCCTCTCATCTCATCTTTCTCTATCGTTTCTCTTTTAGCCCCTCTGAGACACGGCGAAGAGGAACGGTCGGCAACGCGGTGCAGAGAGCACGGACGATGAGGACGGGCTGGTTCGGGCAAGGTGGTGCCGGCGATGGGCTGTGGGGAGGACTCAGCCGTGATGGTCTAGTTCGCGATGAGATGGCAGCAGCGATGGACTCGGCCAAATAATTAAAAAAATCAGAATTTGAAACAATAAAGTGATTTGTAGATCTTAGATCCCTGGTATCTATTTTCGGTGCACATGGATAGAATCGGTTGCTTAAGACTGATGATTCAATGCAAATTTTGGCCACAAAAATAATCCAATGACCCATCAGCAACGACAAGAGTCCAAAGAGCATTAACACTGCTTGCAAGGAAACAACCAAATAATGAGACCAAATTCCTAATGTGTCAATAAGATTAAGAAGAGAATAAGCACATTCCCACGAAAAAAGAAAAAAAAAAAACCTGTCTAACTTACCTTCAAATTTATATCGGTAATAAAATCAATTCACCATTGTTAGGTATCTTTGTCAATTTTATCAAAGTTGAGGGAAGGTCATTATTAAAAAATAGACCAACTTATATTTGATTGTCCTTATGCCAAATTTCATGGGTGTCATTGTACTTTACCCAAATAATTATTTGTAAAAATAAAAATATTGGCAAAACAAATTTAGCATTTTATGTATTATATAAGTAAATAAATAAACGCCTACCAAATCTATATTTTGACAAGTGTTATAATGTCAAAATGCTACATTTTAACAATTCTGCTCCAATTGTGCATTTCATGCAAAATGCTATTTTTTTATACAACCACCATTTTTTTTTCAACTACCATTCCCACCATTCATATTTGCATCAGTAATATTAATTTTAAGCACATTCCAAGTCAAATTGTAAACATTAGAAGGAAACTAAAATTAAACATAATTAAAAAGAAACAAAAATCTAAAATATCTAATAAAAAAAGAACAAAAAAATAATATATATACATATATATGTATAAATTTATATATTTGATTATATTATTATATAATTTTTTTTTTCGAAAATTCATATAATATATATATATATATATATGTATATTATATATATTTGATTATATTATTATTAAAAATATATATTTATTTAGGGCAAATCATTTCAGCCTCCCCAATCGCCTACTCTGAAATTGCCGCTTCTCTCTCTCTCTTTGTGCAACTACAAACTACAAAATCAACAAGAATTAGAAGTTCAAAACCCATATCTTTCAGTTTCCATCGGCCGTTGTTCCAGTTCGGGTTTGCCGTTCGCAAGTTTTAGCCGCTGTCTCTCAACTCTCAAGCTTGCCCCCCTCTCTCTCCGCAACTTCGTATCACAACCTCCGATATCGACTCGTGTATTCGCACCTGTTTTGTTCATCTCCCCATCGCACCAAATAACATGGCAAAAACGAGAAGAATCCGGCGACAACCAAGAAAAACCAAAGTTAGGCCATCTTCGCAAGAGAGGGTTACTGAGGACATGAGAAGGCATGGCGACGTAGGATTGGAGATCGAGGTCCATCAGTAACCCTCTTTTCATCATCAATTGTCTTCCTCTAGTTCAGATCGGCTAATTTCTCGAAACTTTTCTCTTTCTATATTGCAACAAACGAGGAGAGAGAGAGATGCGAGTTTTAGATTGTGATTCCAAACGGTATCGTATTGACAAATGAAAGACTTATCAAAAAAAAATGGCAGTTACTATATGAGAGAAGATTTGAGAATCTCAAAATTTGAGGCTCAAATGAGAGCCCATTGGAGAGGGTTTTTTTTTACCCAACTCTCATATTTTGAATTTAAAGGCTCAAATAAAAAAGTATTGGAGATGCTCTGAGATATCATATAATAGCTGGTTAGAATTTGAAAGCTCAAAATAGGAGGGACTAATTAGGGTAAGTGATAATGAAAGTAGATTAAATTCTCATCACAAATGTACCCCACTGACACAGTAAATGTAGACGTGTCAGAATCTGCATCCTACATGCAGTAAATGAAAATTTGTTAAATTACCAACCACAGACACTGATGAGAACGGATGACGACCACACAATAAAAAAACAGGCATGAACAGAAATCAACCGTGTGGCTGATCGACACGTGTCAGAAGCCGGCCGGTTGTTGTTGATTTGAATGGAGACCATGCAGTGTATTCAGAGGTGGTTGGTTGTGCACGAAAAAGGTGTGTGTGAAGTAACGAAGAATCGTTAATAAATCGGAATTTGAATGATATTATGTGGGCCCATATGTACGTGGACTGGGCCTCCTCCTTTTGCTTCCCACCAGGCACTCTCGGACTCATTCAAATTAGTGACCATTGGGAGCCACAAGATCCAAACCCATTTAAAATATCTACTACATTACCTGAGTGACGCTCAATATATATATACAACACGATATGGCCATAGTCACTACCATGAAAATTATATGAAATGGGACGATTTTGATCACCAATAATATATAGTGAGATATTAATAAAAATTAAGTAAAAAAAATTTAAAATTTTATAAAATTTTAAAAAATTTTTTTAGAGCCCGTTTGGCATATTTTATGATATTATTTTTTTGATATTGACATCTAAATTTGAGCTCATATCATGTTTGAGACAATTGATATTAGTTTGAAATACTTCATAACATATTAGATTATTTTGACCTCATATCACTAAATTAATGATATCGTGTGTTTTGATATTGCAGCGGATAAATTAAAAGCAAATTTTTAAAATTTTCAAAATAAATTTTCTTTATTAAATATGATTTCGATTTTTACCTAAAATACTACTACAACAAAATAATTATTTTAATATTTATAAAATATACAACCACGGACCCTTTAATGGATCCGTGCTTAGTCATAGTAATTGTCTATGTGGTGAAGAACACAAGTTCAGTGTACGAGAAAAAGAATCTTCCAATGTTTATCAGGTAATGAGGTATTGAAGTCCACCACAATGACTTTTGAGTTGGATATGGTCGTGTGGAGATCATGCAATCTGCAACTAATGCAGTAAATAGGGTGGTGCTCCATCAATGTTATATTATGTATGTATATATACATATATATATATATATGCAATCTGCAACTAATGCAGTAAATAGGGTGGTGCTCCA